TCGCAATGCCGAATGACAGGGCTTGTGACATGTTCATTCTCCCATACGTAAAATCTTAATGGTGGAAATTGAAATTTGTGGATTGTAATTCTCATTAAACGACTTCAAATGACACCATTTTAAATATAAGGTAACTAATGTATTAATTATAGGGCCGTTTAAAGCTACGTATGAACTTACAACAGTAGAAAATAAAGCAGTCCAAATAATCCTTCTCGTAACCCGACAATTCGCAAAACTGTCACGCACTTGACGGCAATATTTTGGCGATAAAGTACGTCCCCCTACTTTTACCAACGTGGAAATATACAACCTAAGGTCGAATTATGATACTATATGAAATATCACTGTACAATTGACCGAAAAATTTTTATCACAAAAAATACTTGGGACACCACTTGCACAAAAAGCCTCCCCCTCTGAATGAATGCATTTTGTAGCCCTTTGCTTTGTGACAATGTTGGCTTAGCACGCTAAAAATATTAAAATCCCATTTTCCATCATCACCATCATCATTGTCTACCCTCACTGTTAGCCCCACCATAACCGACTGGCCGTATTTAATTACCGTATACTGTGGAGGCGATATCCGAGAAAAAACTTGCCAGGGAATCAAACTCGGTCATTTGAATTGCGAATGCAGCCTCTACACAACTACAGCTTCATATTGTGCAAATCAATTCTGTATTTATACACGGAGAAAATAAAATTAAAAACATCGGTTTAGCTTCAGGACAATTCAACAATATAACGTGCTATAAATAGGACATTACAAGCCTCATAGTAAATGTTTCGAATCATTTGGGTTCCTGATTTTCTCTTTTGCTTCTCGGACCAAATACTTCCTGATATTAATGCTAAACGTCTGGTGCTCTCGAAACAATTACGGTACATCCAGTGATACTATTTACAAAGGTGTGTTATGTCCATGTGTACACACATCTCCAAACAAATACCTGTCAATCCTGCATTAATTAAAAGTCACCAAGCACTTCATACGGCAATTACAATTTGAAGAGTAAGCAAGATTTAATTGCGCTTGACTTAATATAAATACTATAAAACGTACAACTGTGCACTTAAATGGTGGTCTTTCACCGGTGACAACAATATTTTATTAAATAGCAGTAATTCAACAAATCCCACTTTGTACCACGCGTCTAACGGCAAAGTGGCAAAACAGCAAGAACTTGTGACATGCGCAGTGATCTAACCACCGCCCACCATCCAATACAAACCGACATGTGAGCACACGAAAAAGATTACTTACATTACTATGCCCATCGCATTCTTGGCAATGAAAATACTTACGGGATAAGTTAATCCTGAAGGGACAGTGGTCTCTTCAGGATTAACAAAAACCAACGCAGGAAACCCCCTTTTTTACCGAATCTATGCAGGAGATGCGAGCATCACTCGAGACGTAAAACTTGAGGCCATGATAAATTGCCCAAACCCTCGGTATTCGTGCGTCAATCAAATAAATAAGTGTACGGTAGAAACTGCAATGTATTCGACATCAAAGGCCGCCGCGCTGTGCGCTAGTGTTTACGACACTGGGAGGGGACGATCTGCAGTGCAGTCCGGCAGACACAATCGCCCTGGCCTCCCGACCACCTCTGTACTCCTGCCGTATTTCGATGAAGCCACCATTAAGAACGCTATATTTTTTCAGCTTCCATTTCACGAGTCCGTAATTGGTATGCTAATAGCATATATACGGTAAGGCTTTGCCAAGTCCTAAGGCTTTTCAAGAGGTGCCTGCGATTGGGACATTTGACGTACTCCTTTTTTTTAGGGAGCGTTTGCAAAGAAGCCCTTACGTCTCACGTCAGGTTTGGCCATCGCAAATGAGGCAGTCTGAGGATCATATTCGCGTAACAGTAGGCGTAGTAATAATAAACCTTAGCTATCACGTGACGCCAACGCGAGCCTCACCGAACAGGCCCGAATGATTTGACATGTTGATGCAAGAGCATCGACTACGGTCATCACCGCTTCTGATCAAACACCTCGCCTACGGTGGCGATGAAGGAGGCGGGTCAACATCGCCACCGGTGATCACAGTGACGCGGCAGCTTGGTGGAGCGGTGGAAGGACGTGCAAAGGAAGAGAGGGGAGAGGAATCAGCGATGGGGTTAATGAGGTTAAGGGGACAAAAAAAGGATTAAAAGAGGACGTGAATGGAGAGCAGGTTGACGATGAAGATTAAAGGTTGAAGGAAGAGGGGCTCCAAATCAGCATGATACAACGATGACAATGAAAAAAAGCACAAGGTAGTTACAAACACGATCAAGTAGTACGAGGTTTACAACAATAAGAGCAGTACAAGTCATCGAGGATAACGCGAGGCAGAGGCCGGTGGGGGGGCCACTCGGCCACCGCCACTCGTTACCGACAAGCGCCTCTCCCTGCTCGCGACTAGACGTCGCCGCCGCCACCCCCCCCACCACCCCGGCTCCCCACCCACACTGGTTGTCACCGGCAATTCCGGGGTCCCCCCTTGCACGAGGGGTCCCGCACGGGATTCCCGGTCGGGGGCCTCGGGCTCCTCCCGCAGCCTCTGCGAGGCTCAGGCGAGGAGAGAGATGTGGGGGGGGGGGGGTGGTGGGGGCGCCCCGCCATCTTGGGCCGCCCCGCCGCCTCTCACCTTCATGGCGAGACATCCTAGGCAGGCGTGGGCCCCGGGGCCGTCGCGGAGGCTTCGTAACGCGCTTAGCCGGCGACTCGAAGGTGTCATGAAGGAAGCCGGGGCTCGCCGGCGCCGTCCCTCTCGCCGCCGCCCCCAAAGGCCACCGATCCGCCGCCCTTTCTCCGCCGGAGCCGTCGCCGCTTCTCTCTCCCCCTCCTCCTCCTTCTCCCCGGACCAGCCAAGCGACTCTGACGTCACCGCTACCGACAGCCAACGCGCGGACGCCGGAAGTCGGCAAGGGTTGGTGGTGGTAGTGGGGGGGGTACTGCGTGGTTGGGGGTGGGTACCGGAAGTAGAGAGGGGGGGTGTGTGTGTGTAGACAAGGGGGGTGGGGCCAGGAAAAGAAAACGAAGAGGTGGGGAGTCACCACCGGAAGAGACGGTGGGTGGGGGGGGCGCCACCGGATGTTAGTTGGGAGTGAGCGCGCGGCAGGACTCACCGGAAGTTATAGAGGGGCGAGGGTGGGGGGCGAAAGGAGGGGGTAAGGGGGGTAAGGGGGGAAAGTGGGCGAGTTGGGGAGGGGTCCTCCGGAGCGAATTCGGGGGTGTCCACGCAGATCGCCTGATTCAGTCATTTTCAGCACGTGTCAATACGTATCGTGGTTTTTTTTTGTCGCGTCAAGTATTATCACGTTCGCATTTTCGATTCGTTGCCGGCAGTCGTTGTGGTGTGGTCCCTGGTCGCGGGGTTTTTTTCAATTTAAAGTCGTGCTTTAGAAACCTCACTGGTAATAGACCACAGCTTTTGTCTGACGCATTGTCTCGCAGGATGATCGGGTTTCAATGCAAATTCACCGTCTCGAAGACGATACAAACGTGTGGACGTACGAGAGCCACGTTTATTATGATGCCTTCAATTAATTCGAGCACTGGCTTATACCATGTGCTGGAACGTCTATCCATGTATACATACAGTACGGTGTAGAGATAATGAAGTGTCAATTGTTTGGTTTGTCACGATATGGAATCTCCAAAACGGTTCGATAAGAGAAAAGAAAGCAAACAAAACACGTTTCTCTACGCCTCTTGCCGAATACATTTACGTGGGGAAAAATAACGTTCTGTACACAAATACAAACCAATGGGAACCAAACTAAATATTCCGGAAGACTCGCGTTTTATCTACAGAATATAATTTTGCGGGAATATTTACCTCACCGTTGAATCGTATTAAAACCCACGGTTTAGACATGACGTCACCCAACCCTGTAACTTCCACGCGGTGACGCCATCCTGCAACGGCTGGACGTGATGACATCACGCTTAACGGGCACAACTGCGCGATGACGTCACCCAGGCCCTACGGCGTTGAGCCGGGTCCTTGCGTGCCGGCACCCCGGCCCGACTCCAGGCGTGCCTCTCCCACAAATACGCGGGCAGTGTTATAGGAAATGCAGCACGTGCATCTACACACGCCGTGTCAACCCGTATTCCTGTACAGGGAAATTGAGCTTGCAGGTCCACCATACGGCGTACAGCCGTTTCAATACGGGCAAAAGAAAACACGTGTCTTTTGTTTCTCCCTTGTGAAGGTCTTACAGATAATTGCGACAATTGTATCATCGCTTTTTCACCAGGTGGCCTTAAACCTAACCCACAAATCTCCAATCCGTTTACAAAGATGACACCGCGAAGTAAATGCATCGTCAATCCATATGATTTACCCGCATTCTTTTACAGGGAAATTGAGTTAAAAAAAACGAATTGTCTAATTGTTTGTGTTTCTCCCTTGTGATGGGACTTTGTAGGATGAACGTTGAGATTTAAAAGGGCACGGGGTGACCAATAAGGTCTGAATTGGTTCGTAATAAGGTAGGCACTGATAAGGGGTTGACAGGTATGCATCTAAATGACACTCGTGATGCAGCTCAATTAAAACATTGTATATTCCATGGAAGCAAATGCAACGGTGATCAAATTGTGCAAAGGGTTAATTAACCATTAAGGGTAAAACAGTGAAAAGTGCTTATGGTGACCGAGAGAAATTGATCCGTTTTTGAAATAGCACCCTAAATGCTGGTCATCTCGGAGCACTTCACATCACTCTAATCTCAAACGTTTCAAAGGGCACCCCCAGTGACAGCTGTCCCTGTGGGTGGAAAGTGACTCAGCACCTAGCCTACAAACGGACATTAGTCCGACAATAGGGTGCTATTATAGTCATGTACCGTGCTGCTAAACCGACTGTGCAGCACAAAACAACATCATGAATAAGGGCACTAAGTCATGGAATAAATATTGAATCTTGAATACACAAAAGTATGAAATGGGTTTCCCATTACAAATAACGCAATATTATGAACATTACAAAGCTTCATGAAAATATTTAATGTCAACACAATTCAGTAAAAATCTAATTCTTTGCCATGAAATGATAATTGCAGTACAGCAATTAATCTCCATTGTGATGCACTCATGGCAATGGCATGCATTCTAAGGTAAGTGGGAACAAAACATTGGCTAGCTCGGTATGTAAACTATATTCATCGCAGAAAAAATTCTAGCATTGATCAAGTGGGCTGTCACAGGTTGGAGCTGTGCTGCTGATCGAAGTCATAACTGGATTGCACCCCCAAACATCCTGAATGCGAATTGTGTATGCACATTGGATCAATTAAACATTTGTATATAAAATATCACACGAAAGCTACACGCCACACACTTTATAAACCAGTCTCATACTGTAAGTGCCTCAGTCACAGTGAAATGTTATCGCTATTGAGGCTCAGTAGTTTGGAGAGATATAGAAACCCAACAGCTCTGCTCTCCACTACTTCATATCCAGTGACTTACGAAACTAATGCACTCTCGATGCATAACATAACACTTAAAACCTCTGCACGACTGTAATCTTGACATGAGCTCAATGCTACAAAACATGGTTTATATATAAATACAGCTCAAAACAATTCACTGTTCTCGCTAACAGTGAGGAATAAAGGGGATTATTTTAAAACAATTAGTCTTACATTACCAGGACAGAATCCAATTACCTACAAGTCTGCCACATTGGTACTTTAACATATTTACACATGCATCAGGTGAAAATGTGCCATCTAAGTTATTACTGGACTCCAAGCATTTCAATACTGTGACCAGATGTAGAAAAATCTACATAAAAATCAAAATAACTCCAAATTATCTTGGTTTCTATGTGAAATTAAGTGTCATCATACTTCAGTGCCCATTTCGGTATTAATATACCGTTTTAGTCAATAGTTTTGAAACTGACTGCAAGTCATCATAACAGCCAAATGCTTATCCTTCAACTCAAAGAGGGGTGGGCATAGCCACGTGCAGTGGCTAGCACACTGTGCTACCAACCCAGTGACCTCGTTCGATTTCCAGATACGGCAATCGTAAATGGTGAACGATATCTGAAGCAGTCCTGGATACCATCGTTCCCCACTACCCTCACCAACCCGTATTGATGGGCGGTGAAATATAGTCAAAGAACCCACATGACTGATACAGCATGGGGGAGGCCAACAAGCAGGGCTGACAGATGTAATGTATCTATCTTGGACTAAGATATTCACTTGTCATAATCCAGGTTGCTGTCTTCATATTCCTGCAGCACCTCATTCGTGATACTGTCAGCTCCCTGACGTGACTTGCGAGCCACTTTCCCGCGCGTCTTGGCGGCCGAGAATGTCAGGGAGGCCTTATCAAATTCTAGCGGGATTGAGCCCAGGTCGCCATCAAAGCGATTCTTGGCCAGCTGTAGGTACTTCTTGCCATGTGTCGCACTCAGCCGGCGGTCCTGCAGTATCAGCACATTGTCCGCCTCTTGGCTGGCCTGCATGGACAAAATCAATTAAATATTAAACCTGGCTCGATGCACAGCCAAGCAATCATTGAATCTAATTAATAGTTTTATAATGCAGCTTGCTGATGCACAAGAGCCGGTAGTGTGCATTAATTACATAGGACTTTCATCCACACCTTTGCCGTGCCGAAGATGGAGGCTGTCTGCAGCTCCCTGTCGAAATCCTCCTTGCGGGGGTGAATCACCAGGGTCACGTGGCACATGTTCACTGTGGCAAACTTGCGGAATGCCCCCACTACAAAGTCCTGCATAGTGAACCTGGGAGGATGCCGTGCCATCAATTTCACATCCTATGTATTTATCTATAGAATATGCATAAGAGAACAAACATTGCTATTTTGACCTGTCATTTTGTGTTTTTTTATATGTAGAATATATATATCTAAAGCCTCATCTAGACTTCTCCAAAATGATAAAGTGATTTCCTCAAATGCAATAATTTGTTGTACATTCACTTTACAATTTGTTTTACATCATTAAACACGTTTAATATTAAACATATTACAGCAAAACTCAATTACAACTCTATAACACCCCTGTTAACCCACCCCCATGCTGTATATTGTGATGCCAATTATCACTGAAAACACTGGTAATTTAATCCCAATGTGCAATATAATGGATTTAATGTTATCCTATATTGACACATAAGAGCAGGTGGCCTCACCTGTCCATACTGGGGTTCTGTAGACCCAACATGAACTGAAGGTTATCTATGACCACGTGGGAGATGTCATACATGTACACGGCATGCTGCATTGTGTCCAGCACAGTCCTGTAATGAGATTAAGCATATTATTTTGTGAACTGCAATTCAAGCAAGCTATATTTGTGGTTTGACAAAGGGTTGTCCATCATGATCAGATGATTAACACAGCATATTGGAGCACCTCCGTGCATTAAGAACTCATAAAAATAACATTTTACATAGTACTTTGAGGCCCATTATCCCCCACTAAATTTGCCTGTTTCTTATTTTTTTAGATAAATTGCCTATATATGCACATAGAAACACACATTTTAAGTGGGCAAGCAATCTAACTTTGACCTTTAAAAAGGGAATTGTCTGATATTCATTTTTTATATATATAAATATATTTTGGCAGTTGGATTTCAAAATAACATTAGTATTAAACTCTGTTTTTTTCGGTAAAGTGACTTTACCGAAAAAACCAATGAGTATAGTAATTTATGTAGTCACGAAAGCTTCAATTCTATATTAACATTAGTATTAGATTATATAAATACTTATATACCAAAGCATCTGACTGAGCATTTAAACGTAAAGCAGAGATCACTCTCAAAGGTGGCATGCAATTCACAAGCACCACCTGCACTAACGCTCACTCACTTGATATTCTGCTGGCCATGGAAGGTCATGAAGAAGAGTGGCAGGTCCTCAAAACGGTCGGCCCATTCGTCGTAGCTGTCGATGTTTGACTCCAGACGTTGACGGGCATACTGTGTGAGCATGACGCGTGCCAGCCTCACGTTTCCAATCTCAAAGCTGCCCCACAGCGTACTGACGCCTTGCGAAGCCAGGTCAAGGGCATACTCACTTATGAACGTTGTCTTGCCGCTACCAGTTGGGCCTACCACACATGAAATAATTGCAGGTTAGGAAAAGTATGGCTGTGCCAGATCATAATCAGCATCACCAGCCATGATCTACCCCACAACTGGAGGCCTGTTGCCATAGCTCACGGCTTTGCGATGCAACAACCCATCAGCCCTTACTGATGAGCTGATTTAATTGCTCCATCTCCTCATAATTCGTCGTTTGCCTGCCACTCCATCATTATTCTCGACCACCAGCAACGAGTCCTGCCCTAGCCCATTTCACTTTTCTTTGCAGTAATGTCTCTTAACTTGTGCATATTTTCGAATACATATGTTACTCTGTCTCGCAGTAGAATTCTGAGCATGCAGGTGTCCATGCTTCTTTGGGGAACTTTTCAGCATTTGTTCCATTTTCTGTCAATGTTTGTGTTTTCGATCCCGATGCCAAGGCAAGTAATATTAACGAGATACATCGATTTATTCTGCTGTGGCTGTTCAATAAAAAAACAAAAATAATCACTTAATAGACAACAGCTACTGTCCACTACAATGGGTATGTGTTATGTGAAATTCAAAATGTGCCTTGAGCCTTGTGTTAGTAAGCTCTCACCTAATGTATTAATATAACTACAATGTTCTTGTGTGGGATATTGAAAGTGAATTCATATTATGCCAGTACATTCAATCATAATTAAATCAGTACAACTCCCAATGCTCACATTACAACACCACCAGCCCCCAGCCGCCCCCCGCCCCGCCCCCCACCCCCTTCTCGCCATATTGGCTGTAACTCTGACCGGTGAAGATGGTCAGTTCGCCCTTGCGATGTCCCTTTAACAGCTTGTTAAGTGCAGGAAACCGCTGCCACTTGACACCAGCGACCTGCTCGGAATTGGCGAGCTCCCCACGCACGTCTTCCCGCAGCTGCCTGAAGAGCGTGATGGCTTTGTGGGCGGCCGGCAGGGAGGAGCGCAGAGCCTGCTGCAGGGCGCTGACCGTCCCGCCGCGGGGTGTGGTGCTGCCCGTCAGCGAGAGGGCCTCCAGCGGCCGAGGCTGAGGACCCTCTCCCAGCCGCACCAGAGAACAGCGGCGCAGGCCCAGCTTCCGTGCGAAGCCCTTGGACGTTTCCCACGCATTCAGGTCGCTGCCCAGCCACAGGATCACCTTGCCAGTGAGGACATTTTGATAATGGCACAGTTTTTTTATTATCATCGTGCTGCATGGTAAGAACAAGTTGAGACTTTTATGTTGATTATGTACGTATGTATGCATGTCTGTTGAACTTCTTTCACACCGTATGTAGCCAACCGTGCTAATTGGAGATTAAAAACACTTGCCAAAAGTTTGTCATTATGTTCCAAGAAAAACCAACCGAAACAGTTAAACTGAATAATCACATATTTTTAAAGCAATTATAGCCCATCAAGAGGGGGCACATTAAGTGCAGCCAACTTTTTAATCCTTATAAGTACACCTCTTTTACATTGCTAAAGATAACATGTTTTTAAATGTTTTAGAGGTTCCACATTTATATTGTAATAAGAGAATCTTGTTCCTACATGTATAAATTGAAGTGTTGCCTGTATCAAACGTAATGCTTAAATGCTCTGGATATCTAACTGGCCTTAAAATGTAATGTTTTGCAAATATTTGTACTTATTGTGTTACATTAGCCTGGCCCTGAGTTTTTCATTTGTCCACCTAAAGTAAAAACACATTTTCAGCGTGTACATTTTAATTTGGTTAAGCTTTAGCAGATTCAAACTGATGTTGTAATCAATTGGTGGAGCTCTATGTCCAGGGCCAAGTTAAGCCTAATATTCACTGTCAAGTCGTGATGTTAATCAAATCAACTACACAGTTGAATTCATATAAATTTGAAGTGTTATGTAAAAGTAAAAAGTATTTGTCCTAAGGTGACCAAGTGGCTCAAAGGTCAAACCGCTGAGCTGGCACTGCTGAGATTCTGGGTAAAAAATTGTGTCCTCAAATATAGTCAGGTGATTATGGCCTCAACCCGATCATCAATGAATGCACAAGAAAAGATTGGATTAAATTTGGTTCTTTACTTAATTTGGCAAAGTTCCAGCTCTGAATAGTACATTTCGGTTTTGACAGTCACGTGACTAATATTACTCGTATATGCACAGGGAAAGCGAGTCCTCCTACTGCGTGGACTAGAAGTTACTTGATGGGATCTCAGAGGTAGCTCTGTGATATCTGCTTCCATGGGCCGCTCTTTCACATGAAGGATTGCACTGCTCTGCGAGAGATCTGAATGGATACTTTGTCTCATGACACGACACCTCAAAAGAACAATTGGATAACATTTGGGGGAAATTACAGCAAAATCCCTACACATGAAAAGGAGTGCAAGGTTGGCAATGCAATTGGACAGTGGTTTGGCAAGACATTACTACGCACCTTGCGAAACTGCTCGAGGTAAGGCAACAGTGTGGGTGAAAGGCAGCTCATGCCGCGAGGTAGCGAGAGGGCCTGGCAGCTCGTAGCCTGACTCACAGCCAGGCAGTCCAGCTCATTTGACGTCAGCGCCACCTCCGAGTCCTGTGCGCCAAGCCCACCAAGAAGAGAAATACAGACTTGGGAGCTCTTCATTTAGAGATGAACAGAATATCAATTTATATGGCCAAATGGTGCAATGGACATGTTTGCCTGATGAGCGAGACTCTGGCTATGATAAATGCAGCTACTTTAGAGACTGGGTGGGGTTTTCTAATTTCTGTAGGATTAATGCATTACCACTCATTACTGAACAGTCTGTTGCAATGGATAGGCTAAAATGATTCATGCAATTTTGGTAAAAAAACACCTCTGGTTTTAATTGTTTCCAATCTGATAGTAAAATGTAACTTTAAAGCACAAAGCACAGACACAAATGAATTGTACCTAAAATGTAATTCCAAAAATGTACAAAACTACTTTTAACACTCATCCAAATTACCCTCAAGTTAAACTGATACAAAATGTAATATTATTCTATGGTAAAAAAATATACATTCAGGTCCCACTCTCATACAACCTACACTACACTCAACATGGCTAAAGCACACAAAGCCCCACACCTTAGGCATAATGAGGTGCAGGCCAAAGAGGTTGCAGTAGCGTGCACCACGTGGTAGCGTACTCTCCCTGTAAGTCACGCTTTGTCCATCAAACGCAGCCGTCAGCAGCTTCAGGCCTTTGAGGCCGTTCTGCGGTCCCAGCCACGGAAACACGAGGCTTTTGGTAGGCGGGTGCCACTTGACGGAGAAGCGCTTTAGCGTTGCGTCCGTGAGGCGCTCAATGCCATACAGCCTCTTCGCCGTGAGTTTCTGCTCCTCCTCCAGCTCGTGCAGGAAGATGGATCGTCGCCAGATCCTGTCTATTTCCTCCCGCGTGAAGCGTGCGTCATCCTCCTCGACGCCTTCAGCTGCCGCTCCGAGCCCCAACAGAAGCACATTCGGCTTCACAAACACGCGGCCTTCCTTCCGCATGGCCTCCAGACAAACCTAGTGGGTTAAGTGCGTAAAATTGACAATATTGTAAATAATGTTTACAGGCCATTAGCTGTAAGTATGTTGAACTTCTTTCGCACCGTGCATAGCCAACCATGCTATTCGGAGGTGCTAATTAAGCACTACCCTGTTTTAATGTCAAAGTGCGCAAGGTGTCTATATGGATTATCATATAGTATTGCATAATTATAATAAAAAACGTATACCTAAATCTTATTTAAACTGCGTACAAAACTTAATTCACCAATGATAGATGAAGCTCAAGCATACATGAAGTACATTTAACTACAACAAAATTACAAATCGACAAGAGCTACTTGTGAAATCATGAAAGTAAAAAAAAACTGTCAAATTAGCATTAAAACATGAACTATTTTAAATGCACATAACATATAATCACTCAATGTATTCAACTCCATTATGTACCATACCATACATTCATGTATCCATCATCCACAGGGTTACCTGTAGGTCTTCCCACGTGCCCTCGGCGAGCGTGTGCTTGCAAAAGAACTGCCCGGTCGTCTTGTTGATGTAGAGGCCGGCGTTCTCCTTCCCACCCGGTGCCCCTGGCAGCCGCTCGACAAAGGGGCTGAGCAACAGCAGGCAGGTGTGGCCGTCATGGAATTCGATGCCACTGGCGCGCAGGTACTGTCGAATCTCTGTTGCTGTTACGGGCGGCTTCCATTCCTCGTCCCCGCCCTTGAGGTACTTTTGGAAGCCGGGAATCGTGATGCAGCGAATGCCGGTCACGGCCTGTAGTCCGTCGAAGCAACGCGGCTTCGAGAGGGAATGCAGCAAACGTCTACGTGAAGGTGCAGATTGGCATGCAACTGTAGCCGGCACACGACCACCGTGCCCAGGCGTGCCATGCACCGATTTCCCACAATTGCCAAGGAGTCTCGAAGGTGCACTCAATGGGGCGCATGGAGTAAGGCATACTCTGTTGAGATGAGTGCCACGCCGTGGCTGTAGGGTGACATTTACCCATTTGTAGCACGAACACCTTCCAATTGTTGCCAGCATGGTCACTCGGTGCAGATGGCCTGCAACATACGCGGTGTAACTGAACGTTAGAAGTTGATATCCAACGTTGCACACAAGATCTTGCAAAAAAAGAATCTGTATACTGAACTTAAAAATTACTGGATTTCTAGATTCATTACAATGATTACGTTGAAGCCAACGGGCAAATTCACTTACACAACATTTTGATACCTAGACACCAAACTGCACTTGCAAAAAGTCCACAAATAAGCCATGGACTGGCATCAACACTGCCTGCATAACTTGTTTTATTTTCCTCGCATTACGTATTGAGTGTGCGCTCATGACGGGGCTTTAATATTATTTCAACTCGTGAAGTGTAATTTAATGCAGTGGCCCCAAGGATAACTTAAAACTGCACGAGTCAGAGATGGCAACATCTACATGTGATGAAATTTACTAATGGCCCTGGTGTAAAAATGCTGTTTTATTTCGTTAAAACTCGTATTTGTGTCACTTTTAAAAATAGGATATGCATACCTGTCAACCCCTTATCAGTGCCTACCTTATTACAGACCAATTCAGACCTTATTGGTCACCACGTGCCCTTATAAATCTCAACGTTAATCCTACAAAGTCCCATCACAAGGGAGAAACACATTTTTTAAACCTAATTTTCCCTGTACATTCCCTGTACAAGAATACGGGTAAACCGAACGGGTTGACAGGTATACATATGCTTCAGTGTAATATTTGTAAACGGATTGGAGATTGCGTTAGGTTTAAGGCCACCTGGTGGAAAGTGATGATACAGTAGTCGCAATTATTTGTAAGCCCTTAAATGATTTTTTTTAAAAAATCTGCGCCTTTTTGTGAGGGTGCCTCTCTCGATACTGTGACCGCCCATCCATCGGCAGCGGGCCAATGTTTTGGAATCCCAAGTGGGTGTCGAGAACCTCTAGGTATACTCGGCCTACAACCCTTAAAACGAATACCAGCTGGTGCTCGGGTCACACGATCAGCAATGCGTACACAACCAGGACCTGCCTTCACGAGGCAACACACACAACAAACACAGATTTGTTTCGCGGAACCTATAAGCGCCGCTCGATTTTTGGTTACGTCTTGCTGTTGGTGTCGAACGACACAATCTAATTCCCCGACCGTGACGGCGACTCGCTTGGGGCTTCGTCCGTCTCGCGTCCGAGGACGCCCAGGAGACAAACTCACCCAGAACGCGCCCGAATCTCGTCAGATCTCAAAAGCTAAGGCCGGTCGTTTGTTCCGAGCCCACGGCGACTTGAGGGCTTGCCGCGAAGCTGCAAGGTTGTGGCAGCACAGCGTTACAGTAATGTGTACCGATTTAACACGTAGGCTTTCGCGAGCAATGTCATACACAATACGGGGGGGGGTGTTTTTTTGGGAGGGGGGGGGGTAAGGTCGCGTAAATATACACACGTGTCGATAAACCCGCCACCATCCGACACAGCCGATTAATAAGGTTTGTCACGTAAAGGGAGGATGCCAATTGGTTACGAGTAGAGCACCACCGGTGTGTGGCAGAGTAAACCCACAACACCGTGTAGCGACCTACAGTCGCTACAGTGCAGTGTACCCAACCGTGTGCCGATTGCGCGCCTTTGCAAACCCGCACTGACCGGGGTGGCGGGTGGCGGGTGATGTAGCTCACACAAACCCTCACGAAACCCTCACCGCGTAGCGGTGGCGGGTGCGATGCGGGCGGCGAGGGCACTCATCCAGCAGTGGATTTAACCCGAGGGGGTCTGCCCGTGGGACTATCGCGAGGCAGCGCTCGTCAACAGCGGCGGCGGCTCGCGGGGCAGGACCCACGGCGCGAGCGGCGGAGAGCAAAAAAAGCGCCGGTAGTAATTATCAGTGCGTGAAGGGCGCAATAATCGTGAAAGGTTTAAGTGTTGTTGCAATGAGAACTGTAGATAACGGGAAGGCGAGAGAGACGGGGAGGAGGGAGGTAAACGAACCGCTTTGAAATTCGCACGAGGGCCGCGTGGTGGTGGTGGCGGTGGGGGTCGTCACCTTGCGAACCCCGCGCTGCGATTGGCTAAAGCGGCGTCACGTGCTCTACGGAGGCTGCAGAGGCGGGGTTTGTCTATTTATTTATTTATTTTCCTGTGGCGTAAAGAAACCACGTGGAAGTCGATTTTTTAATCGCGCGTTGTAAATTTAACAAGGGCCGCCGGACGTTCGATCGGCGAGGACGAACGCGCCTCAACGTCAAAACACCGGTGAATGAACTTGAAGCGGAATCATCGAGGAGCCGGAGAGTAAAGTGCCCACGTGATGATGGGAAACACAGCACACAATTTGTTTCAGTAAAGGATATGCGTCAACAAGTAATGCGACGCGATCCATAATAGAGGTTTTTTTGGGGGTTAGATCGCGTAAATAAATAATGTGTTGTTAAACCCGCCACCACCCGACACAGCCAATTAGTAAGGTTTACAATCTCAGACTGAAAATGTTCTGTATTTGCTCTCCAACACACCGGTGTGCTGTACTAGTAACGAATTTGCATGTTCTCTTTACGTGACAAACCTTACTAATGGGCTGTGTCGGGTGTGGCGGGTTTAACGACACATTTACGGAATCTAACCCATATTTTTTATTTTTATTATGGATTGCGAAAGCCTGCGTGTTAAAATGAAAATGATGTTTGCAAGTTTTAAGAATACGGACGCTTACAAAGCTAACAAACCAATGGGAATTACAAATTGTGTTACGACGAATTGTGACAGCAAGTGGTATTGGCATGAATGTTCTCCAAATTTGTGTTGTTTGTACAGCTCTACAATATTCGACCAGCAGAGGGAACCCACTCCCTATGAGTCGATGTGGACGCGAATGATGGTGGCACCACAATAGGTATTGTGGTGGCACCACAATAGGTATTGTGGTGGCAATAGGTATTGTGGTGGCACCACAATAGGTATTGTGGTGGCACCACAATAGGTATTGTGGTGGTGCCACCGCAGCGGAGCAACTCGGCCGGCGCTACCCTCTCCTCGCACCCCCCCCATCCCCCAAGAACGCACGCCCCACTAAACACTCACATGCACCCCCGTAGGGTCTCGAGGAGGGATCGCCTGGTACGATGGGTTTTCACCCGAGGACCCCACTAGCAGGGACGTTCCACAGTTTCCCCGGACCAGGAAATTGGCTGAGCCCCCCAGACCGGATTACATGGCGGCCCCCCCAAAAAGGGGGCATAGAGCTTTACAGGCCGGCCGCGATGAAGCATACACAATACGGGGGGATGGGACCTTCAGCCAGCACCCAGCGGCAGGGTAAACAGTGGGGTGGGAGGGAAAAGCCCCTAGGCAGATACGAGTTGATTTAAGTTGGAGGGAGCGAGGGGATTATCGGTGAGTCAACAGCGAGGAACGCAGGCACAGAGACAATGGGAATGGGGGGGGATGACGCGACCCCCCCCCCCCCCCAACGGCCAGAACGCTCAAAACGGCCGCAAAGAGGATTCGATTGGATGCGCAGGATGACGTCATATGACCCGGGGGTTAGGGGGCTTTGGGGACATAAGGGGGCCGGAGGGGCGGATTGAAGTAGAGTTCTTCTGGAGCGATGTAAGAGACTAGCCGTCCTCAGCGTCCGTGCGACACCTGCAGGGTGGAGCTGGAAACGATCGGCCAGAAAAAGTCCCCAAGACGAGCATCTTCCATAGCCCTCATCGGGCAGCTGAAGAGGTGAATAGGTACGAGGAGGGGGGCCAATTCAGCCCAGCTCGCAGTCAGCTCGAGCTTGGGGGATAGACGCACTCTGAGACGGCCAGGTGATAGGAGGTTAGGCGCTGTCCGAAGGGTGCTGGCTGGAGGGAGCCATAAACAGGGGTTCACTATTCGTTCCAGGAAATAAATCTTAGTGTCTGTGCACGCACCGCAGTGTTAACGGTGAGACACACGTGAGTGTCACTAGTGTCTATGTGTGCACCGCAGTGTTAACGGTGAGACACACGTGTCACTAGTGTCTGTGTGTGCACCACGGTGTTAATGGTGAGACACACGCGAGTGTCACTAGTGTCTGTGTGTGCACCACGGTGTTAATGGTGAGACACACGTGAGTGTCACGTGTGTCTGTGCGTGCACCGCGGTGTTAACGGTGAGACACACGTGTCACTAGTGTCTGTGTGTGCACCACGGTGTTAATGGTGAGACACACGTGTCACTAGTGTCTGTGTGTGCACCGCAGTGTTAACGGTGAGACACACGTGAGTGTGTCACTAGTGTCTGTGCCCGCACCACAGTGTTAACGGTGAGACACACGTGAGTGTGTCACTAGTGTCTGTGCGTGCAACGCGGTGTTAACGGTGAGACACACGAGTGTCACTAGTGTCTGTGCGTGCACCGCAGTGTTAACGGTGAGACACACGTGAGTGTGTCACTAGTGTCTGTGTGTGCACCGCAGTGTTAATGGTGAGACACACGTGAGTGTGTCACTAGTGTCTGTGTGTGCACCACAGTGTTAACGGTGAGACACACGTGTGTCACTAGTGTCTGTGTGTGCACCGCAGTGTTAATGGTGAGACACACGCGAGTGTCACTAGTGTCTGTGTGTGCACCGCAGTGTTAATGGTGAGACACACGTGTGTCACTAGTGTCTGTGTGTGCACCGCAGTGTTAACGGTGAGACACACGAGTGTCACTAGTGTCTGTGCGTGCACCGCAGTGTTAACGGTGAGACACGTGAGTGTGTCACTAGTGTCTGTGTGTGCACCGCAGTGTTAACGGTGAGACACACGTGAGTGGGTGGGGGGACGCGCGTGAGCGCCGATTAATTTATTAATATCCGGACCGCGCGGGAGCGTTCGCCTTGTTGATACGGCTTAGTGGAAATTATTAATTAAACCCCACAGCGGAGAGTCAAACAATTACGTAATCCATGCGGTTAGGAAGCATCCGTGGGGGGAAGGGCACGCGGCGCGTAATCAACCCCTAGTCGGTGTCGGCCAGCCGCTGGCTATGTCGGTCAGAGAGGACCCTGGGACGGGGGGGGGCACCCGATCGATGGGGTGGGGGGCACGAGCGACACAAACGCGGAGGGGACGAGGGGGGGAGGCAAACGCCACCCCCCCCCCTCGCGCGAGGAGGGGGAGGAGGTGAGTGACCCCCCTCCCAATGGCGGGTGGGGGGGGGCATCAGCCCCCACCAAGTAGAAGTGGCGCCCCTCCCGCCCGTGGTGGGTGAGGGGGAGGTCGGCCCCCACCTAATGGGGAGTGAAGGGGGGGGGGGCATCAGCCCCCACCAAGTAGATGTGGCGCCCCCCCCCCCGCTCGTGGTGAGGGAGGGGGGGATCGGCCCCCACATAGTGGGAAGTTGGGGGGGCATTAGCCCCCACAGTATGTTTAAACTATTGTTTTTGATTGAATAAAAAGTATTGCTTAACTGAGCGAGAAAATTCCAGTACATAAATGTATTATTTACAGTAGTGACATATTTTGGGCATTACGGTATAATCAGTTATTTCAGTGTTTACTTTTATACTTAGAGATTTTGAAAATACAGTTGTGCAATTTATTATTTCACGTTTAAACAAAATAAAAAAAACGAATCAAAGCCGGCTGTGTTGCGTCTGGCAGTTTTGCCAAAACAAACATACGTTTGTAATTTCGTCTGGAAATCCATGCTTGTTATTCGTCTTGATAAAAAAAAACTTTTGTTTTCATCAAAAAAACTGCACACGTGTTTTTAGTTCAGGCATACCTCCGTTTTAAAGATATTTGGGTGCACGTTAGCTGCCACATTTCATGATGCCATAACAATGTCGAAGTGGAGTGACTGAAATTGTGGCTCCTGCTTCTGCAATGGTGAGCACACTGGACTCTACGCCGGTTTCAATCTCCCTTCGCAGCAGTTGAACCAAAAGTGCAAGTTTCTTAAGGTCACCCCCGTCTGTCCACCTAACAGTATACATGGGTGACACCAAAGCTTGTCAATGAGCAGGTCGCGTGGGGTGAGGTAAAGTGTGGGTACTCCGACGTCTTTTATGATAGTCTGACCCAGCGTGGAAGAGTAGGCCAAACACCCTGTAGGGCTCCCAGTGGGGTGAACAAGACATTTGTTGGTCTGCACCGTTACAACCAGTACGGTACTGGTTTTCTTGAATCAAACTCCGATTAACGTAACACGCAGGCACATTTAGACTATCACGGGTCCAGCTAAGTCTTACACTTAATGTGTGAAGACGCTGTTCTTTATTGTTGTTGGCTGTTATGAAAGGGTGGTTCAGTACTCGTATTTCCGGTTTATTTTGAATTTGTTTTCATTTTCAGATGGACTCGCCAACAGCTGCCACGCAGTGTTTACCAAACAAGCGTGCTAGTGTCGTTCAGGGTATACAAATCTCACCGAATATATTCGCTGCTCGACTGCTGGATAGAGTAAGCACGTGGCGAATAGCTCGAGCCGTAGCAAAGATGTACACAGAATGTGGTGTTCCGGATGCGGAAATAATCGTGGTCAGTGACCTTGCTGAACTTAAACCCCGCACGTGTTACCTAACGCCGTGAGCTGCACTCTTGCAAATCCATGTATTCGCTTGTGGTGCAAATTGCACTCCAACCTCGATACGTATAAAGGAAATACAGTCATGTTACTGGTAGGAAACGTAGTGGACTGGAAGCCCAACCGGGATTAATTCACAGGAGGCAGGGGATTAATTGTGTATGTCTGTGGATGTCTGTCCACGTGTATCCGGACACCCGGATATATAACAAATGCGCTCCTAGTGGACATTACTGGTAGGAAACGTAGTGGACTGGAAGCCCAACCGGGATTAATTTATAAGGGCCTCCCCACCCAGGGTGGGGCTGGGTGGGGAGGCCCTTATAAAACTCAACGTTTAACCTAATCACGCCGGCTTGTGCCCACCCTCACAGTCGGGCATATTTGCAGAATACACCACGCCGCCATTGACCCTGGCCATTGACCGAGCAACCCAGCGTTCCTACCAGTTCCCTCCGCAGGAATGTGTTAATTCCTTCCTTCGTGAAAGCCACAACTACAGTGAGGGAAAAAAGTATTTGATCCCCTGCTGATTTTGTACGTTTGTCCACTGCCAAAGAAATTATCAGTCTATAATTATAATGGTAGGTTTATTTGAACAGTGAGAGACAGAATAACAACAAAAAAATCCAGAAAAACGCATGTCAAAAATGTTATAAATTGATTTGCATTTTAATGAGGGAAATAAGTATTTGACCCCCTCTCAATCAGGAAGATTTCTGGCTCCCAGGTGTCTTTTATACAGGTAACGAGTTGAGATTAGGAGCACAGTATTAAAGGGAGTGCCCCTAATCTCAGCTTGTTACCTGTATAAAAGACACCTGTCCACAGAAGCAATCAATCAATCAGATTCCAAACTCTCCACCATGGCCAAGACAAAAGAGCTCTCCAAGGATGTCAGGGACAAGATTGTTGACCTACACAAGGCTGGAATGGGCTACAAGACCATTGCCAAGCAGCTTGGTTGCAATGATCATGACAACGGTGAGGAATCAGCCCAGAACTACACGGGAGGATCTTGTCAATGATCTCAAGGCAGCTGGGACCATAGTCACCAAGATAACAATTGGTAACACACTACGCCGTGAAGGACTGAAATCCTGCAGCGCCCGCAAGGTCCCTCTGCTCAAGAAAGCACATATACATGCCCGTCTGAAGTTTGCCAATGAACACCTGAATGATTCAGAGGACAACTGGGTGAAAGTGTTGTGGTCAGATGAGACCAAAATGGAGCTCTTTGGCATCAACTCAACTCGCCGTGTTTGGAGGAGGAGGAATGCTGCCTATGACCCCTAGAACACCATCCCCACCGTCAAACATGGAGGTGGAAACATTATGCTTTGGGGTGTTTTTCTGCTAAGGGGACAGGACAACTTCACCGCATCAAAGGGATGATGGACGGGGCTATGTATCGTCAAATCTTGGGTGAGAACCTCCTTCCCTCAGCCAGGGCATTGAAAATGGGTCGTGGATGGGTATTCCAGCATGACAATGACCCAAAACACACGGCCAAGGCAACAAAGGAGTGGCTCAAGTAGAAGCACATTAAGGTCCTGGAGTGGCCTAGCCAGTCTCCAGACCTTAATCCCATAGAAAATCTGTGGAGGAAGCTGAAGGTTCGAGTTGGCAAACGTCAGCCTCGAAACCTTAATGATTTGGAGAAGATCTGCAAAGAGGAGTGGGACAAAATCCCTCCTGAGATGTGTGCAAACCTGGTGGCCAACTACAAGAAACGCCTGACCTCTGTGATTGCCAACAAGGGTTTTGCCACCAAGTACTAAGTCATGTTTTGCAGAGGGGTCAAATATTTATTTCCCTCATTAAAATGCAAATCAATTAATAACATTTTTGACATGCGTTTTTCTGAATTTTTTTGTTGTTATTCTGTCTCTCACTGTTCAAATAGACTTACCATTAAAATTATAGACTGGTCATTTCTTTGTCAGTGGGCAAACGTACAAAATCAGCAGGGAATCAAATACTGTTTTCCCTCACTGTATGACAAACAAGGGATTGCGTTGGCAGTGGAACAGAAACGCGCCTTTAATTTCTCAACAAACTCGTTTAATAAGCACTGCCTTACAACGAACATTGTACAGTCGGAGTAACCGGCCGACGTTTAGGGGAATGGTCCTTTTTACAGATTATTTTATCTGTACAGCAGATAACGATCACCGTTTGTAACTTTTTTAATAACTGAAAGGTCACTGAAGTTGATATTTTAAAGCGCAGTGATTCGCGCACTACATTTTTAACCCGGCTAGCCTGAGTTTGATTCTCGATCTGAACCGACCCTGCCCCCCAAGCCCTTTTCATGAATCCGCACTGACCAGCGTGGTGAAGTATGGTCAAACAAATCCCGCGACTGACATGCCTTGGGAAAGCCTTCATCAAACGGTGGATTTTATAAATCGATGCACACACACGACACAGGGTATGTCCCTTCGGCGAGGAGATTAATTTTCCAATTTTAGGGATTCTATTCAATCCAACCCATTCCAGCACGCCAATTGATCTCGTCCATCAGTCATTATCTCTTCGAGCTACGTATCATCCCCAAGCCCATCTCTATTCATATATTGCAACACCTTCAAATGTAAAACGTGGATTCTAACAGGCAATGCGATGCCTGCATCAAGAGGTTTACAATTGCCACCTGTGTACGAATCGTTCATCAGTTAGTTCGTTACAACCCTTCTTCGAAGTCTGCATAATTGCGAATAGGCTGCCCTCTGTGTGGTCAGTGTAGGGGCAGAGGCAGGGTTTAGTGGAGGGTGTGGTGGTGAGGTGAGTGGTTGGCTGGCTGGTCGGGCGAATGGATGGGTAAGTGTAGTGGTTGGCTGGCTGGCTGGTGGGTGAAGGGTCGTATGGTTTGAGTGAGCAGCTAGCTGACTGCAGGCTGCATGTGTTAGTGACCGCCTGGATGACTAAGTAGCTGGCTGTGTGAATCTGGCGTATTGCTTAGTGAAGTTACTGACTGGGTGTGTGGACTGTGAGGTGGTTGGGTGATTAGCTGGTCGAGTGGGTGGGGTGATTATTTTTTTGGCTGGTTTAGTGGGGTGATTAGATGATTATACAGTCGGCTGGGTGCTGAGTGTAGTCGCTGGCGCCGTGAGTGGGTGTTTGGGTTCTGGTGGAACGGCTAAACCGGCTTTGCTGGGCGGTCTGTTGGGGGGGTGGGGGGTGGTGGGTGGTTAGGTGATTAGCCGGTTGGCTGGGAGCCAAGGGAAGTGACTAGCTGGGTCGGTGGAGGGTGGGGTAGTGGAGTCATCATCCTGTGGGCTTGGTGTCGCCGCACACTGGGAACGATGTCGGTGCTGCTGGCTCGCCCCGTGCGCTGCCTTCTGCGCGATGCGCTCTGGGTCATCCTCTGGGCCGCTTGTTGCGGTTCGTACTCACGTGCACGTCTCATAATAATAATAACACAACATATACACATGCCTGGCTGTGTCTGTATAACCACGCGTGTTGATGGTAACCGATGACTAATTATTATTACTGCAAGTGTCAGGATTTGTGAAATGAACACACGGGGGCAGACGTTTCTAAATAGCCACTCGGGTTGTCCATGTTGTATAAATTCACATGAATGACCATGCATACGCAATATATGTGGAAACTTTGACACGGTCATTTTGTAACCGGGAATGGCTTTCATCGCGGGTTTTTTTCTGTTGGTGTGTACCTATGAGACTTGCAATATGATCGGAGAGGTCGTCACAGCACACGTTTGCTAATTTTACCCGGATTACTATAATACATACAAAGATGAATGGAAGAAGTGTATTCATTGATGAGTGTACGTATTGCGGAACGTCTCACGGTTGATGCTGCAGTGGAGCTCAGGTGTCAAACACTGCATTCAATGTTTTTTGACTGTGGGCTAAAAGTGACCCTTTTAGTTTCGAATTACTCACTATGCATTGTTCCTGCTTGAGAATAAGTCCAGAGTCTTTTGTTGAACAAACGTCAGCGTTCACAATTTAAAGATAGAATAACAGTTGTCAAAAAACTAAAGTTAAACGAAATTACAACTGCGTACGTTTCGACACGTTTTTTTTTCTGGCTGTAATATATCGAGTACGTTCATTTGCAACTCATTCAAAAGCAAATGTGAAGTGCTGCGGACAGATCGTCATGTTTATTGTGCCGAAATGCAGTCACTGTAGATTACGTGGACTGATTTCTTATCGCATTCATATGCTTAAGCACCCCTATGAACAAAGGGTGTGGAGCGGTGGGCGAAGTGGTTCGCCCAATGTATTATCGACCCAACCGAGTTCGATTCCTGGCTAAAGCTAACATGAGTGGGTGAGTAATATCTGAACCGGTCCTGGGCTTGTCTCTTCACCAGCCCACCCTGATAAGTGTGGTGCAACTCCCATGACCGACACGGTACAGTACAGGAAGGCGTTTCCATCACCATAATAGTTTATATTTACATATTTTGCAATGTCTTATTACATCTATCAATTTATTAAAAAGGACACGCGCCATCGTATCTATGTGATCTTCGTATTACTTGCTTGTGTGTAATTCTTAAAATGAGTTTTTTTAACACCCATTTTTCATACTCTCCTTTCTTTAATCTACCCATAATACCTCCCACTCCCAAAAACCTCAACATAGACAACAACGCAAATCATATTTAGCGACATGATGTGTGCCATTCTTGGAACATTTATCAGTTACACTTCATACATGTTAATTCACACTGCATAATCCTATTGGAATCAATATTTGGACAGACATTCCAGACCCAACTTTTTGACAATTGACAAGTGATCTCATTTTGCAAAGGCAATGACTGACTGGTGTGCTATATTCCTGCAGGTTACGCTGGGGCGCAGACATACGTGGCAGAAGTGAACATGGCAGGGGTGAGAGGCTCGGTGACCTTCGACAGTACACTGACCTCGGTGAAGCTAAACATCTCTGGCATGGGGTCGGAGATACGGAGGCTGTCCGTACACACCTATCCGGTGCTCTATGGCCACTCCACCGATCCCTGCAGCCAGCAGCTCGTTGGCGAAATCCTCCAAAATATAAGCATTGGCTCAAATGACGGAGCGACCACTGTGAGTGCCCCGGAGCTGTTTACGAGTGTGCGGGTACTCGCTGACCATTCTCTGCTCCTATTTCGTGATGGTGAGACGCATTCCAGAGTGTGCGCCACCATCCAAAACGCCCAGGGTCCTGTGCTCACGGCACAGGCCAAATTCTTCGGTCCCGTCGCTGGGGTTGCCTACTTGAGGCAGGTCGATGGCCGAGAGCTAAGGATGATCACCGATCTTCTGTCACTCGGACAGACAAATACGAAGACAGTGAGTGTACATTTGGTGAACATTACGGGTGAAGCTCAAGTGATGCAGTGTGCCACTGTCAACCCAGCGTCGTCAATTCAACTGGGATCTGTCACCGTCGGTGCTTCTACCTTGTCAGTAAAATCACACGTAGTTGTAAACCTTCCCTTTAGCGATGTCATTGGGCGTATGTTGGTGATAAAAGCGAGCGTTCAAAGCTGTGCAAAAATAATCCCGCTGAGTTTAAAGACCGCTAAAGCACAGGTCAACATGAATGGGGTGAAGGGTGAGTTTGTGTTTCAGCAAAGTTCCATGTTTGAGTTGACCCAAGTCAGAGTCTCTCTGCAAAACCTCAGAGGCATGGCCGGCCCTTACCACGTGCACAATTTCCCAGTGCCTCAGCGTTATGTTGCAGCAGAAAGCCTGTGCATTGACCCCAATGTGGGAGGCCACTGGAACCCATTCAGTTTGGATGTGCGTGGCCTTGACTACCCGAAATTCGCAAATGGAACCCACGACCAATACGAAATTGGAGACCTCAGCGGTCGGCATGGCAGTTTGCTTGGCAACACTGTTGACATCGCGTACATGGACTGGAACTTGCCTCTCTTCGGTCCAAATAGCATTGTCGGTCGCTCCATGGTGATCCATCACCCAAACACTTCCAGGTGGCTCTGTGCCTCGATAGAACCAGAAGAAGAGTTTGTCACGGCCACGGCCTTATTCAGGTTTCCTGTCGTGGGTCGGGTGCTTCTGCGGCAGCTGAAGAATGACCCTTATTCTGACGTCTACATGTTCGTGGAAATCGCGAATGGCAATGTGTCCTTACCCTCAACATCCAACCACAATTGGCACGTGCACGAGTTCCCCATCAGCTTTGTGACAGACCTGGATGAACACATGTGCTCCAGCACAGGCGGCCACTTCAACCCACACGGAGTGAACACAAGCCAGAGCATCTACAGCACCGAGTGCCGCCCAGACAACCCATATCGCTGCGAGGCCGGGGACTATGCTGGGAAGCACGGCAAGATCTTCATAAGCAACAGACTGGGCACTGTCACATCCAAGTACTTTTTTACCGACACCACCTCTTCTCTCGTGGGGTCGAACTCTATCCTGGGTCACTCTTTTGTCATCCACGACCCAGACGCTGGGCTGGGACGCCTGGCCTGCGCCAACATCACCCTGCTGAGAGCCGTCACCATTAGGACGGGCGAGTGGAGAGGCGGTGGCACGGTGCAGGGCCAGATGGTGTTCACGCAGCCCTCCGACCTTGACTCCACGTCCGTACTGGTCCAGTTCTCCAACCTGCAGAAGGCGGTGTCCGGGCTGCATGTCCACATGCTGTCGATGCCGAGGTCACTGCCGCCCAGTGACCCTGCGGTGTGTGCCGACCGGGCCGTGCGTGGGCACTTCAACCCCTTCTCGGTGGACATTGTGGTGGGGCCTGCGCCTGGAAATGGGACGACCGACCAGTACGAGGTCGGCGACATCAGTGGGAAATTTGGGCCGCTGAGGGACCTAGATCAGAGGGAAGGGAACTACTCCGACACGAACCTCCCTCTCTCAGGCATCAACAGCATTGCCGGGAGGTCTGTGGTAATCCACAGAAACAATGGCTCCAGGTGAGACCAGTTTTGAGTTCCTTTAATGAGAACAATTATAGTATCTAGAAAAGGCGAAGAGGTGATGTTGTCTACTTTGAACTAGATTGTTGACAGTGGAATACTTTAAATGTTGACATATTACATTTTATCAGTTACAGCGTTTGTGATTGTTTTGCATTTTTCAAAGATATACTTTTGATAAAACATACCCACTCTGCGTGTGTTTACTGAATGAAGCAAGTACACAAGTACACAGTGTACTTGTTTCATTCATTCAATACACGCAGAATGGGTACGTTTAATAGAAGTATACGTAGTGTACTTGTTTAATCCATCACTAAAGAGCCTTCATCAGCAACAGTGCATTTCATTGTAAAAACAAAGACGATGTTTTTAAACACTAAACATGAAACAAAGAGCGTCTTAACATTTAGATATTTCTTGCTGGAATAAACCATGATATGGGGCATCAGATATATCACCTAAAGTTTGCTTCAAGTAAACTAGTTAGAGCTTCATTGTATGAAACCTGTGAATAGTCGACAATTGCTTACAGTGCTTTCTAAAAGAAAACTAATTTTAAACTGTGGCATTGCATTTGCAACCTATTACAAATCCCTCTCCACATTATCACGCTAATGTTTCAACCAAAATCCATTCACATGGCAAAATGGTAAATGTAAAAGTTCACAAAATAATAGTAATGAGAAATGTACTCTGCTAAGGTATGTAATGTAAAATATAAGTTAAATATACTCATTTAGAATGTTTTATTCAGCCATTTACTGTTCTATTCAGTTATTGACTGTATCTAACAGAGCCCATCCTTTACGATTCGTTTAATAAACGATAGATACCGTAGTCTTATTACATGGTTGGGCCAATACCGCTGCCATGACAAGGGTGGGCCCGTTTCTGCTGGCATGTATAAATCTTGAAAGCACGCACTTCGTGATGAAACCAAATCCGGGTTGGCGCTGACATCGTTCGACTTCGTCCTCGGTGCCCACAAAACCCACGCTCGTGCCCTGCATGCCCCCCGCTGCCCACCCTCGCCCACCCTGTACCATTACTGGGCCGACACCCAACCCTCTGTGCCATCCCAACCCCTACGCATGGCGTGCCAGGTTGCAGTGCGCCGACTTGGGCAGGGAGAAGCAAGCTGAGGCCGAGTGGCTGAGAGCCCGCGTGTCTTTCGGCGACAAAATCAACGGCACCATTTTGCTGGTGAGCCAAGATGCAGGGTGGTCTAAGCCTCGCTGCCACGGCGTCACAGCTTATACCCCTGGGGAAGTTGGCATGAGAGTCAAGTCAGTTTATGTTGGGTTAGGTCTTTTGAGCTTAGAAGTTCCTTTTTTCAATGGCGACCCGAAAGTGTAATGGACACTCTAAGTTAACCTGAGGAATGAATGCACAGGGGCAACATTTTTGGCTAAATATATCTATTCGAGGATAATTTAAAATCGAGTTGTAGCAATCTTTGCTCCCTTGTTATATGAGATTTATTGTGGTAGCATGGATTGTTTTGTACTACCTAGAGTTGCCAATGCAATAAGAATTATAATTTATAGCCCGATGTCAATCCATTATTGATGTGTTAGTTATGGAGGTTGTTTCACCATTCTGTTCGGTATGGGTTGGTGCTAGGATGTCTAGAATGCGAGTCTAATGTGCTTGCCCTTAAACCACGGCAAAAAGTTGCGTAATATCTGTAAATTAATCATTTTAATCGGTAAATAAGTTACACCCATAATGAACGAATGTGTTTATTCTGCAACACAGATATAGCTCCCACCGGAATTAACATTGTGACATGCGCCTAGAGTCATGGATCAACGTTCGATGGATTTTGTAGTTAATCGGGGCAGAAGACATTTGTTCCTACAGTCTGCTGTATATCCATTGCTTCTTCATAGCAACTGTATTTTAGTCCTCAAGGTCGATTCCCACACGAATGTCAGCGCTAAATTAAAGTGTGGACTTAAAAAAAGAAATTCGTGACCACAAACATCTGGAAACATTTCAAATTCTTTTCACTGGATGATGAATTTCTACCCTGTAAATTACATCTCTGGTGGCTTTACTTAAGGAAAGCCATGGTTGACACAGTGATGCTAATCGTATCTCCCACCATCTGAAGCTTTTTCCACTACAGTTGACACAGCTCGGCACACAGAGGAGATGTTAATTTGTTGAGCTCCCAATTCATGTGAGCGTGTTTTTGTGTTCAATAGGCCACATCTCCTTCAATAAGCTCAGCGAAGCTCCTACTGACTTCGCTTAAAATGTCATCACATTTAGATATATTGCGAAATTGCCCAATGGCTGTTTTAAGTTTTGTATAAATTAAAGTATGTCATGAATATTTCCTTTTACTGTGTGTAAATCAATTGCATCTCTGTGTTGATTGCAACAGCGTATGTTCGGGCCTATCTTGCCCCACAAACATTGTCGCAAATCTCTCTCTACCTTGTACCCATTCTTCCCTCTCAATCCTACTCCTAATCAATCCCTCTACATTCGCCTCTGCAGTCCCAGCTGGTGTATCCAGACGGCAGTGGTTCCGACACCACTATAGAGGTGGATCTGCAGTACGACAATCCCAAGGCCCAGGTATTGGTCTCCCCTGCCTACTTATATCAGTTCACCGTGGGTTGCCATGGTGCATCATGGGCAAAAGCATACAAAAGCAGAACTCCGTTTCTGTCTCTCCACAGGTAGATAAAAAAAAATTGTCCATCAGCTTCTGCTCATGAGACCCACAATGTTGAAACCATTCCAGAGATTGCTTGCTTGGACACGTTCTGCTGAATGTTGTTTTGTTTTGTTCTGGAGGGCCAAACGGCTGATGGACTAATACATGTTTATGTGTTGAGATACAACAGAGTTCTCCCTATGTATGCTTCTCCTCACAGTACTTCAATCACATTTTTCATTCGCTTTGCGGTGTCTCAATTTACTTGTAAATTGCCAATAATTACTCTTTTTTACCAATGAATGTTGACACCTACTTCTTTATACGAGGTGACAGTGTTACTAGTTACTGCTGAACATTTAAATATTAATGAGCTGTGCAGTGCGTGTACTGTACTTATATTAACTATACTTTATGAAAGGTGATGTCAATGTGAGTTGTTCCATTGAATAGTTTGTCGACAGAACTAATTAGTAATTTTGAATGGGCGTTAAAGGACTTTGCGTCACATCAGCACCGAGAGAATGAAGCCAAATACGATTCACTCCCTTTGGCAATTCAATGAATTGTCACGATTTGTGGGTTGCAATTCACTCAAATGTCAAAAGCTGCCTCTAGTGACTTCAGGAGGTCACGTAAAACCCATTACATACAACACATACGAATTTACATATATCAGTTTTTACACATACGTGTTGATGTATTAATTGAAAGCTTAATAATGTATATTGATCAGTGGGTGTGTTGTTATTCCCCCAACATGGAATGTTATCCACTGTCCAATTTCACCACGACCACACTTTTTGAAATCCATCCGGGTGGCTTAGTGGTTAAACTGCACAGCTAACAATCGCGTTTTTAAAGTTCTAATCCAGTTTTGGGGGGATGAATCAGCCCATCGCCTCACACCGAGTCATATTAACAGCAGTTGTCCTCTATCCATAGACTCATGCCATCATAACAATTTAGATTTTTTTACAACTAAGTCAGGGTTGTAACCAAATATATCCATAACTATCACTTATTTGAGCAGGAAGCTATGTTACAGTACTTTGAAACTGGAGCGATCAGACATCTTTGGAGAGGTTTTTTTTTACCGTAATGCAGTATAACCTGTAGTGGATGAATTTATAGTGGAGAAGGAAAAAAACCGTACTTAAAGCATCACCGTTTTGCATCAAGAGCATTAAGAGGAGCTCTACGGGTCATTACCGGTACTTTAGGAGCCCAGCCCAATCCCGTGTGGCCCTCAGGGAGGATAAGTGCATCTGCAGCATCAGCAAAAAAGGCAACTAAACTATTTTAAATTCGTTTGGATGACACCAAGTTATTTCAGAGGCAAATTCCAGGATTTGTTTGTAAAAAAAAAATCCGTTTAATATTTTCCCGCGCAATCAAACACCTCAATCTTTGTCCAAGCAATCATTGGCTTTCGGCAACCCCTCACGAATAATGAGGGGTGTTGTGGAGAAACTTGATATGCCATCCAAATCTCATCGTCTACAAATAATGGTTTGTTGGGATTAGATGGATTCAATGAATGTAAAAGGTGAATTTACAAAGTTGAGCCATCTGTGGGGAGTTGACATCAACAACATTTCTTACATGTTTTCTAAACAAGGCTCCAACTGACCATATAAGGGCGTGTTTTAGTCAAACGTGTTCTGTTTACATCAAGCCAGCTGATTATGCCATTCAAATGTTAAACATTAAGCATTGGGCAACATTTATCTCGTGGTGCATGTTGTTAAATAAACATCAACATAAACACAAAGAAAGAAAAACATCCCCAGTATAGCCTTGTTGACCATTGGGACAAGTTCTGTTAGTGAGCACAGCATATTTATATTAATAATATTATATTACATATTATTTATAACACTTCGTACCGCACCTCCGCTTAGCACGGTTGGCTATGTATGGTGCAAAAGAAGTTCAACATATCTTCAAGCATGTCATAGCATTCGAGGGGGTTGTATGGTCAGCACCACATCTGACCAGGCCAAGTTAAACTGTGGTAGGGAATGCATCGAGGATGCTGAGTTGACAGCAAAGTGCGTTAACCACCGCACAACCGCCAAATGAGGGCTTCACAAAAGACATCGACCATTATAAGACTAACGCACTGAATTGTTATTTCCAAGGTTTCTCTGTAGGATATATAGTTTTCATTAAGTATTATTTTCAGTCATCTTTTTATAAATCGGGGACCTCGATAACTACCGTGACCATAATTGCACTTATGTGGTTTATTTATAGAAAGGGAAGACCAATATTGAAGGTGTTCAAAGTGTTTGAGAATATGACATGGTAAAACAAATTAAAGCAGTTTTATATACATATATGGAATGTGTTTTGATGATGTTGACTGGAAAGATCATATGTTTTTTTTTGTGAGGGTACACTACATACATTCACACACACATTCACATTCGTGTATGCCGTGCTCACTCTTTGCCTAGGGGTACAGATGGCAGGTTCATAATGACTCCGAAGCAGTGAGCAGCAGCACGGTGCGGTGTTCCTGGTTAGGAGTGCTCTACAACCCTTATAACGTCTACTCAGGGGTGAGCCGACTCACATTGCAACCACACCTAATGCCCATTGAACCCTTTTGTGTGCAGTACTGTGCGTTTTGATCATATAATCAGTGCTTCGGATTTATGATGGAGTTTGGGTCAGATCGCTTAAGTAAAATGTGTTCTAAGCCCTCCACCTAACAGCGCCACAGTGGCGAGCTGTTAACTACCTCGCCTGGTATACAGAAGGTCGTGGGTCTGATCCTGACCCTGACGCCTCTATATTTGGAGTTTTCATGTTTTCCCCGTGGTCGCGTGGATTTTTCTCCAGGCCCTCCGGTTTTACTCTTCACATTTAGAAACATGCGTTTCGAGTATTTGGCTGCTATAAATTTCCACGTGATAAGCCATTTTGCTGAGCTATCATTTGTGGCCAGGTCACTTTTGAAAAAGAGTTATATAGCTCAGTGGGCCTTTACCTGGTAAAATAAAAAAATAGTAAAAAAATGTATAGTAAATAAGGTTTGTCCCCTGAACAAACGTGCCAATTTGTGACTGCTTCACTACACCGGTATGCTGTAGAGCTAGCTCACAACCTAGAACAACACGCCAGTGTGCTGAAGCAGTAATAAATTATCACGTTGATTCCCGTGGCAACTTTATTACTTGGCTGTGTTCGGTGGAGGATGGTTTACAACACATTTTACTTTGGTGATCTGACCCAAAAATGTATTATGGATAATTATATTGGTCACGAAAGCCTACGGGTTAAATTAACCGGTGCGTAATTTCTGCCGGAAATGTCTAATTGCTGTTGTGGGAATAAAACGGGCATGCCACATCCATCTCACCTTATTTTGTCATCATGGCATTGCAGTATCATAGGGATATAGTCATGTAGGGTTAAATAAAAGAGGATATAATATATCTTATACTCTTGTGGAAGTACCCTTACGTCAATAATCCTTTTTCCAAGCCAGCCAAGGAACGTTCTGGAAAATTATGATTGAGAAAATTTAATTCTTGCGTGGTTACTCAGCGAGGCTGGATTTTATCAACCATTGTTCAGAAGAATGAAACCTTTCTAATGCGGATTAATTGAGAGGAGTGCCTCAACAAACTGCAGATAATTCAAGAGTAAATCATTGCAAAATTTAGACTTACACGTAATTAACACCCAACACTTAATAAGCTAATAACAATTAAACATTTACAGTTACAGATGTACAATTGAATAACACTGAAGAAAATCACTGCTGTACAGTTAATTCATTGTGTGCCCATCAGGGGCGGAGCCAGGATTTAGACTTTGGGAGGGCAGACTTCAATATTCTGAGATATCCAGTGTAATGTTTTCCAATGGGCGCCACAAATATTTAAAACTAATTTTATTGGATTTGAACGCGGAGTTTATTAATAGATCGGAGCCGCTGATGTGGCTAATAAGTTCGATAAGTTCGAAAGGCTGCCGCTCAAGCAGCCTGTAGGGCAGCACAAGGTGGCAGCCTGCAGCATTTTGCAGCAGCCGGATATTCGGTTATCCCGATTACCGACTTTCCCAAAATTTCAGGGGGGGCTATGCCCCCCCAGCCCCCCCCCCCCAGCCCCCCCTGTGGCTCCGCCCCTGGTGTCCATCATACCAGCTTCGTCAGACCAGTGATGACCATTTGTGGACACACCCCCATGTATGGTCAGTAATGGTTTAATGGTAGTGGTACATTATAATCTGAACAATCATGACTATGAAGCAGAATTGGAAGGCTGAAGTTCGCTGGATGTGGAGGGCTGACGAGATTTTCCTACAGTCTTTAATAATATTTGCATATTTGTAAAATCCATTTGAAAAAAAAACCCAAGTAAGGATGACCAGTGCACGTGGATAATCAAGGTAACCATGGGCATGGGTTCACTGAATTCCATACAGCAGATACATATAACTTTATAATTGCTTGTGTACAAACACACGTTAGGATTAGAATCTTACACTCCCTATTGTTGGCAATCCCACAGTGAATGTCACACACATTCTACCATGTGGTGAAATAATACAATAGGATTGACTGCAGAATGCCACATTCTGCCATGCTCAGTTACGTAGTACGCAAAACACGATTACTGCCAGAGTCTCTTGGTGTGTGTATATAGGAATATGTATATAAGTTATTTATTTAGTTTTGTTCGGGTCGCCTTGTCTGTTGTCGCCCAAATCCGGCTTACGACGAATTCTAGCTTAAGCTTCAAAAGGATTTTACTGTATTGGCGTTCATAAATAAATAATCCATTAAAAACAGGTGCATTGCAAGTATATAAATATTTTTGGAAAGCGTTCCTAAACTATGGGTAAGGTATTCTAGCATGTCCTAAATCACACAACATGGCAGTATTCTCATTAATGTGGCACGATGTTTTGAAATACTACAACGTTGTTGCTTTAGCTGTTCGTAAGAGAATTCTGAGGGTGAAGTCCAGTAGCGGGAGCCGCTTTTGGGACTTTTTAAGCTGCGTTAACGAAGCCCTGTTTTCAAGTTGTACCGCGTGTTGTTCGGCACAATGTCCGACGTTTCACTCCACGTGCCAGGAGATTCCTGTGCGACCCGACAACAAATGAGAGAGCCATACAGCCACAATAGCCCAGTGCTGTAGTCGACCTTTCATAGCATAAGGTTATAGGCGTGCCTTGTTTAAAATGTAGTTATTTTGCAGGAAATATTAACTAAGTCCAAAGGTAAAAGGGATTGCAGAGCAATAATGAATGGAAACATTGGTGAATAGCTAATCCAGGATTATGCTTTCAACCCTACCCAGGCACAGAGAGATTCATACAAACAGGTGATTTTACCTTGACGCTCATTAAAAAGGAACCAGTGGTTCAGGTGGTGGTGCATATTTAAGTCACGGTAATTAATTAGCACTCCTGAGATTGGAGGTTAGAATAACACAATTAATGCTCACTTCATTTATATAGAAAATTTAGTTCAAATGTTCTCATACTGTAATTTAAAAATATATTTAAATCGGTTTTTATACTTAGTTATACTTATATTTTCCCCGAGCCCCCAATCCCCCCAGACCCCAACAGCGATGTCGGTGGGAGACATATTTTCTGGAGCACAACCCACGACAGTTCTGACTAAATTAGGCCCTGGTCATACTTAGACGTCAGAGCATAATAAGACATGCTGCATTAAGAAATCTATCACAAATCTGCTGCATCTCCAATTCCTCTTACCCCTTCATAAATATTAAATTGTTCAATGCACCATTGTTAGTATTGCTTTATACCTAAGCAAAGCAATCCTGCACACATTTAAGACGTCTGCATTTACCATCGAACAAAACTAACGATACTTATTGTCATTATACTTATTTGCTTTGTGTGAACATTCAATTTGTTTTAACTGGTTTGAGTTGCTTTATCATAACAAAAATAAGTCACCGATAAGCGCGTATCACAAGCACTGATGTACTTTTGACCTTTTTCATTTTATAACAAAACCTCATCACTAAAGCATGAACTGTTATGGGCCACAAACAGGCAAAATGACTCACTGCCTGCATTGTTTGTGCATCCTGTGGATCCATCAGACTGTTTTAATCAATGCCCTTGTAAGACATTTCCACAATACCAACAAGAACCCATTTAGCCCAGTTAAATTTGATTTTTAACTGAGGATGGGGTGGGAGCAGTGGCGCAGGGGTTCATGCGCTCCACTATTGAACAGAAAACCCTGAGTACGCTTCTCGCCAGCGAGTGATATCCCTATCCCCCGTTTTTTCCCTCCACATTTAGAATCAACATGCGTTTCGAGTATTTGGCTGCTATATATTTCCACACGAGATAGGCCAACTTCGTTGAGCTATCGTTTGTGGCCAGGTCGCTTCTGGAAAAAAAGAGCTATGCAGCTCAGTGGGGCCTTGCGTGGTGAATTTAAAATATCGCTTATAGCTTTACATTGTAACCGTGTTAACGTTGACAGGAGGGTGAGGGGAGGAGCTGCGACACAAGCCGGCCCTTTCACTGCGAGATGGGAGATCTGACGAGCAAGCAGGGACCTCTGCCCTTGGGATCCCGCGTCGTCTTCAACGAGGCAAACCTGCCGCTTGGTGGAGATGCCACGGGTCAGTCAGTGTCGGGGTGTCCCTTTTGGTGGCATTCAAAGGCAGACGTTCGCACCATAGACCACGTTGCGAACCGCCGCCAACTCATATTCTTGTTTTTTTCGGTATAGTCACGTAGAAGGGAAACAATAACATAATAAAAATATAAAACAGTAAAATTCTCACGACGTTTCGACTGCAACACAAAAAAATTTCGCCGCCAACTCGGCAAATTCGAAGGAGGCTCAGCAGCAATTCATTATTCAGGCTCCCCTGAGCCGTCGCGTGTCTTCCAAATTTGGAAGTAGACCTTTAAGTTTCTGTTAATTTATGCCACACGCAAGACGAAGAAGAAAGACGAAGGTTGTGGTTGTGGATAACAGCGAGAACAGAGACAGTAAGCTTAATCATCATCATCATCAGCCATGATTTATACACTGTTAGATGAAAGCCTCCCTTAAGCTGTTGCCGTTTCTCATTGTCTCGTGATGGAACAAATCCATCTGGCTCCTGTGAGGCTTCACCACCACCATTGTGTGCTGAGCGGCGATTAGCGGGCCACCATGTGACTCTGTCTGCGCGCACGTGTGCCGCGCCGTGACGCAGTGGTGGGGCGCTCGCTGGCCGTGTGGGACGGCACACCCGTGGGAGCGATCCTGGACTGCGGCACCATCGCCCCGGCTGACGGCGCAGCATCCGCCACTCTGTCCTTCCCCAGGGGCGTCGTCTACAGCAGGTGAGGCGGAGCTGTCAGCCGGGGCATGGGCATGGCCACTGCAAGTGTCATTGGTGTCCGGACACCACCGCATTTCTTGTTAAATATATATATATATTGCAAAGTGAGACACCCACAAAGGTTTGGACAAAAATCATGGTATTTTTTTTGAGTCCGTGCCAAGATGACATAAATGCTGATTATGCTGATGACGGGAACATTTAAATACACAGTCGTGCACGGACAGCAGGCTCGGTACTGACAGCAGCCAGTAGTTGCGTACGGTATATCTAATATAGTTATAGTGTAGTCGAACTCCTGGCTTCTGTAAGAAAGTGTGGGATGAACTTCGCAGATCCTTTATGTAATCTCACCAATAACCACTGGGAATATTTTTCTCACAGAACATCCCCAACTTGCTAATTGTTGGCTGCACCACTGCATTTGGGGATCCTCAATTGACGCCCGTTATCAGTGTTAAAGAACTAAAAATGCAACCTCGCTGTTTATAAGCAGTTGACCAATATGGAAACCACGCTTGTGGTTGCTGGAGCATGGAGATACTTCTGTTTGCAGGTTTCCAAATTATTAGCTGAGAAGAATCCCTGTGAACCAAATAGCAACTACCAGATACTGTGCATAGAACTATCCGGGTAAATACATTGAAACAATTTAAATGTGTGTAAGTTGAATACTACTCGTGATGTTACGACTACAACTAATAAAGAGGACACTGTTTTCAGATTCTCAAATGCTTTTTGCATCAGTGGATTCATAGTCACGAAAGCTTCCCCAACAAAACTGTCTTCCCAAATCACTGATAGCATTTGTGTTGGCACACTTAGCAGCTGAATGAGTTAATTGTAAGCCTGCTTGAGAGCAGACAAGTTGAGGCCTTCTCTAGCTGCAAAAATTATGTTCATTGGAAGCATCCAAATTAGAGTCCTGCACTTATGTATGAACATGATGGTTGGCTCAACAATAGTTGCACACATATACAGCCCTATTAGCAATCCACAGTGGGATGAGGTCCTCCCCCATGTCTTCTCTGGGTCATGGGGGTTATTGGACCGTACTTCCCCACACTGGTCAATTTTGGTTAGTGAGCTTAAACATAGAAACATAGAATAACAGTAAAACGGTAGGAAATTTCTGCACTGCCCTAGATGCCCAACCACGTTAGTCCTCAAGCCCCATGACAATCTGGTTGGGCCCATTGACCACCTGGAATGCGGTGCATTGCTGGTGGCTTGGCGATCGGCAAATCACCTATAACACTAATAAGCAATTATTCAGGCCTTAATATTATAACCACCCAGAATAGCATCATGATGAACTCTTACTGCATCCTCTCACAGAGCGCTTTACGGTTCCTCACTGTTGCAGGGGTACTATTAGGGACTTTTAATCCCACACCAGCCAAAATATGGCATATAAAAATGCTGTACACATGGACGATCATCACCAATGTGACTGATGTACATTCTAATGGTGATCTATAAAAACTAAGAAATAGGAAGTTTTGCAAAACTATAGTAGAGTCTCTAATTACGATTATAAAAATCCGATTACCATGGTTGGCTACGGATGGTTTGAAAGAAGTTCAACATACATACATACATCTTAAAATTTGGGCTCTCAAAAAAAGAGTTTTATTGATCTTGTTTTAAAGTTGTAAATTACTTTAAGTCTTGTGCTAAACACTTAAAGATATATGATCCCCACTAAAGCATACTGAAATTGATCGAAGCATGCTCGTGGTTGCTGCCTTAGTCAGCTGTAAAGATTTCACGTGACACATTTGGCGCATGTATGTTGATATAAACGAATGTGTAAAGATTACTGTAAAAATATTGTGTAAACCCTGTCTTCCCAACATTGGCCCGAATCGCCCCCACCTGTCCCACCCACCACGAAACCCCCTCCCTCTCCGATGCCTCATGACTTTGCGAAGATATGAGTTGAGACGGACAATAGCCGGCGCGCTGAACATCGCCGTGTGGAGGGTGTCCTTACTGCCGGACACCTCAAGCTCCCTGCGCGTGTCTTCACCTTGCCAAAACATCACCTTTTTGGTCGCAGGTAAAAAAAAATAATAATCACAAAAACACCGTCACGCTTTACGTTCTCACGTACAAAAACATTCTTATCTGCTTGGACTGTTAGCAGGAATGCTTTTAGCAAAATGCAAATCGCAGCCAACAGGGCCTAAAATCAAAAGGTGGAATCGGCACCGCATTTTAAATCTCCAGTGTCGGTGAGAAAAATGCCTCAAATTTTGCCCGCACCTGGTACGGTTACTGTAATTTCCACTGACATGTACTGACATGGAGTCAAAAAGACAAAGAATTCACAGTTTCCACCTTTAGATCATTGGTCTGAATTAAGCTCAAGCATGGCACATATGGAGTTTGGTGACTACACTGGAATGTCGGCCTTTGATTACATGTATTGATAAGCCACAGCACAAATAGTTTATAATTCCTTTCATGGATAATTTGCCTGCAGGATGTTGTTGCCAAGTATGCGGCAAAGTGGAAAAAGCAATCAATCCCTTATATAAATTTTCATAATAATCATTGCGTTTTTCTTTTCTTTTACACTGAAGTACTGTGACTGCAAATGTGTATTCATCCTTTTGCAAAACATGTCCACAGGGATGCATCCGTTGCAGATGTCCTTACATACCCTGGATATAGTTTTAATATCTCATTAACTCCATGTGGGATTCATCACAACACCTTTAAAGAACGCTGCTTTTGATGCAAATGTGATAGTCCTTTACCTTTTCCAAACTCTAATTCTTATTTTTTTCAAAATTGGCATGAACAACATTTGGCCTCAATAATTTGAGGTGGAGAATTTTAGCATAGCGCTAGACTATTCCTTCCTCGGGTACCTAACATAAGCATTACAATTCATTTGTGCGGGTGCAGTCATCACAGTTTGTTGTGCTCGCCTGATTGGTTATCCTGTGATTAAGAAAGCAGTCATCGGGACATCATATAATATCACAGTAACACAAAACTGTGCAAGCCAATTTATCAATAATTGATCAATTTCATAATTAATCATCAATCATTTATCAATATATCGATCAATGTATCAATTTACCAATAAATAATTGATTTATCAATAATTTCACTGTGCTTCACGAATTTGACCTGTAAATGTGAATAACCACAGGAATTATTTGTTTTATCCTCGAATTATTATTATCATATCATGAATTTCGGGCAGTAGTGGCTGGAAATTGTTTTAATTGTCTGGCTGAAACAGTCGAATAAAAAAAACATTTATAAACTTGAAAAAAATAGGATATTTTTCCAATGAAATTGTTGCCACTCATCAAATGTATCCCCTTACTCATCCCACTGATCACAAGCTCGGTCTAAATTTCATCTGATGTAGGTGAATGTCACTTAAATTGGAGACGGGGGAAGAAGAAGCCCTTTGTGTTCTTGGGGTTCTAGTTTGGGGTTGGTTTGTTGTAATTCAATGCCTGCAGCCTTGGAACTTCACAGTGGCCGCTCTGTCTGCGATTTAAAGTGATGCGTGTGAAGGGTGGGAAACAAGAACAGACTTATACAATAACTGTGCATTAAAAAAACACAATAAATGCGCAAACAGGATGTTTAAAAAACTGAATCGGTGAGTTGTAACTTTTTTCAAATCCCACTAAGCCTTACATTAAAGATAAACCTACATCTAAAATGAAAGTACTCTATCTTCATTCTGAAACTGTAGAACGTTAAACAGAGGGGATATGTAACAAGGAAGACACTATATTCTCGGTTCTTTCGGTAAAGTCACATAGAAGGGAAACAATAAAATAATGAAAATATAAAACAATAAAATTCTCACGACGTTTCGACTGCAACACAAGCAATCATCATCAGCTGTGAAAACCACAACAAGAAAATTGTTGGTAAAATGTAATGCCAATGACGTTATGGGAAGGGTCTGGATGGTGTGTGCTTTCTATAAGCACTGAATCTTTTTAACGCTTGTGTTTTTTTCGTCTTTTTTTGGCAACCCTTTGATCAATTTGGTTGGCTTATTATAAAGTCAGTCGCAAACAGTAAAGAAACTTGATAATAAAGTGTCTTTATGTTGGTATCATGTTACAAGATGTACCGTGCCCTGCTTTTAGAGACATACGGCCGGAGCTAACGCATTTAACTTCAGTTGGAAGTTGTTAATAAAAAGGCAAAACTGACAGAGGCACTCAAAATACAGATTTAGTTTTGTACAGACAGGCCTTGTGGACAAATTATTTCCGGAAGCATTTTCTTAAGCAGGTACATTCCAGACAGCTTTTTTTCATGAAGACCTTCTGAATCTCATCAGCAGTGTGACCTGTTAGACAAATCCTACTGGGTTGCTTGATGTTATAGGCAAGAGCAGGGGCGGAGCCAGGATTTAGACTTTGGGGGGGCTGACTTCAATATTCTGAAATATCCAGTTTATGTTTTCCAATGGGCGCCACAAATCTATAAAATACATTTTATTGGATTTGAACGCGGAGTTTATTAATAGGTCGGAGCCTCTGATGTGGCTAATAAGTTCGATAAGTTCGAAAGGCTGCCGCTCAAGCAGCCTGCAGGGCAGCACAAGGTGACAGCCTGCAGGGCAGCACAAGGTGGCAGCCTGCAGCATTTTGCAGCAGCCGGATATCCGGTTATCCCGATTACCGACTTTCCCAAAATTTCAAACAAACATAATAGGCGCCAATCAGCACAGTCCAACACAGTTGCACAAAATGTGTTGTTCTTCGATGCTTTGTTTATTGTGATGGGTTTTTTTTACAAACAGGCAAGGGTCTGTTTCCCCTTTTAAAATTAAATTAAGGATTCATTTTAAGAGAGCTGAGGCTTTTTTTGTTCATTCTCAGAGCAGAAAACCTATCAGGCTCATTGATTAAATAGGAATTATTATATTTTTATATTTACGTGATAGAAGCCAACCTTGTTTATTTATTACTTTATTACATATTTACCTAGGATCCACCATGACAGAAAATTCTACGTTTTGATATTGGCACAGGCTCATATTTTTAAAATACCAAATTATAAATGCCTACAGAGAGTTACAAACTGGGCAGAGGCATCTTGAAATATATTCATTTCGGATTGATGCAGCATTACTTTGAAAATGTATTTTAGTCAGTGTGTCAAAATAGTCTGCCTTTTTAATATTTTGATGTAACGAAAATATTTTAAAACAAACTATATAATGTGTCTGCACAATGAAACGTGATCCAAAATGTGGCTGCGCCTAAGGTGTTTGAATCACCCCGATCATATTACATAATCATATTCATTACAATGTCCCAATATTGAAATATTGGTAAGCCACTATCTTGTATCAGATTGGACACGGAATTTCAATATTGCACAGGCAATAAATAAATGAAAGTTGTGTGGCATAATTAGTTACATTTTCACTGCCCTTTTTCAATACACTACTGGATTAAGGCCTCCTCACCCTCTATCAGTTATGGTTGATTGTTGGGCTATACTTCACCACGCTGGTCAATGTCATTTGGAAAAAGGGGTGTGCTCAGGACCAGTTGGGATATCCCTCGCCGCTGCTGTTATCCGTGGCTCAGAATCAAACTGGGTTACTAGTGCAGTGTGCGAACCTCCGTGCCACCACTCCACTCCGAAGTGAAATATAAGGACTACAAAATAACTGATAATACACGTGAAGATTGTTTTTGGGTTTCATTTCAGGTGACGTGGATTTACGGTTGCTGGAGGCCATCTCATTCAGTAACGATCTCGGAAAGTTCTCCGCAACAAAGCGCTGCCAAGGTAATTCAGGTCTTCGCTGCAACTGCGAATTCACATTTCCATTTTTCACTGATCCATAGAGGAGTAGACTCCTCCTTGCTACCGTGCAAGTACAGCCCTTTTGGCAATCCACTGGCAGATGGGGGGACCTCCTCACACCGTGAAGGTCGTGGGGGTGGAGCCATAGACGTTGGAGCATACTAGGGTGTTGGATTTTTGCTACACTGTTCTTATGAAGTTTTTTCTGTATATTTTTTGTCTAACCTCTGATTCCAGACCGCAGTGCTGTTACACAATAAATATCGTTAGATTTTTTTTGTGAATTTGTTATTTTTCCAATGCTAATGACCAAAGTCTTAGAACAGTATAGTTTTTCAACAAAATGCATCTTGGGATCTAAGATTGTTCCGAGTAATTAATATTATTGTTTAAATTAAATAATTACAGTGCTTCAGGACATTTATTATTTAAGATTTGTTGTGTATTTCTAAATGCAGTAAAATGGACATTTTACATTGATGATGACCTACCATTTGCAAATATATTTTTCTACATGACTGGAAGAAGCATTTTAGTTGACATGAATAATGTATTCCACAAACCAATAACAGCATTGTTTGCAATTCACACATTAATTACTGCATACCCATCGTCGTCGAGTCATTGGTTGGGAATTGTATTTGTTAATGAGCACATGCACGTTCAATACAAAATATGTACCAACTGCATTACTTCTGCCACATGTGCTGAAGTTTATTAAAATGTCAACATAGCTCAACAAAGCAACAGCAACAGTACCTCCCCTGATAGTTCTTCACACTGGTGATGTGCAACCACAGAGATAATTTAACGTGGAAGTCATATGGGATAACAATGACTCCAGTTCATGGGGCTTTGTGAATAGTTGCCTTCTGAAGGCTTTTTCAAGAATTTTTCACCTTTCACATCTTCACATTTATAAAATGTTCAAGCAAATGTCAAGAACATCTGTTAGTTACACCGCAAAGCTGCATAGGATTACGTTATAATAATACTTTACTGCCCAGTAAATCCATTACCGGTTATAGGGATTGTTTGACCATACTTCGCCATGCTGGTCAGTGCGAGTTGGTGAATAAAGGGCATGGTGGGTAGAGGGGCCAGTCATCATCACGATCCATGGACAGATCGCCCGGAGGTGTCCACTGCACATCTCTGTCATTTGTTTCCACTTTCTTCTGGAGGGGCAAGTACCAATTCAGATATCATTCACCACGGTTGTTATCCTCAGCTGGGTATTGAGTGTCAGGTTTGCGGGTTTATAATGGGTGCGCTAACCACTGTGCTGTCACTCCTCCACAGAAGTTTCTTAGAGCCAACTTTATATCAAATACACCTCACCTTAAATTTTGATTTAAAGCTTTCGTGACTGCAGGAATTCATATTATTGGTTCTTTCGGTAAAGTCACGTAGAAGGGAAACAATAAAATAATTAAAATATAAAGCAAGAACATTTTCTTGCTGTGGTTTTCATACCTGATGATGATTGCTTGTGTTGCAGTCGAAATGTCGTGAGAATTTTATTGTTTTATATATTTTTTTTTGTTTCCCTTCTACGTGACTTTACCGAAAGAACCAAGAATACACCTCACCTTATTTATTGTAGACCTCCCTACAGCCAATGATGCACAATTTCTCAAGGCCATGTTCTAATTCGCGTTAAACAAATTATTATTATAATAATACTTATTTCATGGGTTTTTTTTGGCAGATAAAATAGATGTGCCAATTGTCGCATACATATTATGATGTGGTTTACTGAGAAGGACAATGTTAATTCAAATTAGCACTTGTCTAAAGCTGTTTGAAAATCTAATTTGTGTCACCGTATTGACGATGAATATTCAGATCTCACGAGATTAGCCTTTTCAGGAGTTGAAAGGCACACATAGTTCCCTGCTCAGGTTTTACAATTAAAATTATTGAATTAAATAAACCCTGCAAGCTGTAATTATGATTACAGTACTCTAGAGACCATCTATCTATAGGTGGTACTCAAATCAGCTTTATTATTGCTTTGAAAATACATTTTAAAGGCCACAAAAGAGCCGATTGTAATACAGGGTGCTTCAAAAAAATGTTAATATTTCCGAGAATTTGCAACAATAGCACAAGAAATGTGCTGCTGCCTTCCGGGTCTGGAGATCACCTGGAGAAGATTCCAGGCCACGTGTTGACTGATGGCGAACAAGTGGAGACTCTTTGACTTTTTGAAATTATTAACATCCACTTGTTATCATGTTATTTTTCCATTAAAAACGATCGTCCCATATAAGTGTTAAAACTAATTTTAAGCACCCTGTATATTCATAAAAACGTATACTCTTTGGTTCTTTCGGTAAAGTCACGGAGAAAGAAAATACATTAAATAATAGAGTACGACGTTTCGATTGCAACCCAATGCCTCTGTGTCGAGGACTTAGAGAGAGAGGGGGGGGGGGGGGGGGGGCAGAGAGAGAGGTGGGTCTGCTGGAGCAGAGAAATTAGCATGTCAATGAAAAACCCAACAAGAATGGTACATACTCTTTGTTTTTTTTCGGTAAAGTCACGTAGTTAGAAATAAATTAAAACAAATCACGACGTTTCGACCGCTAACACAAGCGGTCGTCATGATGACGTCATCATGACGACCGCTTTGTGTTGCGATCGAAACGTCGTGATTTGTTTTATTTTATTTCTAACTACGTGACTTTACCGAAAGAACCTAAGAGTATGGATTCCTGCAGTCACGAAAGCTTCAAATCAAGACTGGTACATTTTAGAGAGAGAAATAGGCAGTTTGAGAACTAAATTTATAATTTTTTGGGGGAAATGTAATGCAATGCAACACAGAGAGTCGGCTAACACACAGTTAACGCATAGCCTGGTTGATTACGATCTCCAAAGATTGCTAAAATTAGGAGTTAAGTGTGAAATTTGACAAACCGAGACACACAGAGAGATGTGTGGAAATCCACCCCGAAGCGGCCGGGGGAGAGAAAGAGCGAATGGACCTATGAGAGCCTGGTACATTTTAGAGAGAGAAATAGGGCGATTTCTCTCTCTAAAATTTACATTTTCCAAAGTAGGCTTGCATTAAGATGGTGGTGTGAGTTTAACAAAAAATATGACTGTACTTTTGTCTCTAATTTCTTAAAGGAAATGGAGCTGGTGGTGCAGTCGGAAGCACTGGAGTTCAACCCCTGACAATAATCATCGTCACTCTCGTCGCCATGATCATCCAGTAAACAAGATACGTGCGTCGATCCATTTACAGATACACCACTACAATAATAAGCGGAAAATAAGCACTTGTCGATTGCAATTGCGGGTTGTTAACCATGTCATCCTGTGCACGTGATACATTCACCAAACTTTAAATGAAAATTGTTAATAATTTCCCTTTGTGGTGGCGCGGCGGTCCAATTTCTTTGTGGGAATATTTTCTGTCCGTGCGTGAGAATCGGATTTCGTGACATTCCATCCACGTTACCGCCTTCCTTCTCAGTCCCTCTCTGCAATATGGAGCCAGCACACGATATTAAATTGCCTGTTGAGATTTAAAAAAAAAAAACACCATGAGGGCTCATTATATATCAGTGGGGTATCTCTAAATTAGCTCTATACAGTACTATACTCCTTGGTACTTTCGGTAAAGTCACGTAGGTATAAAAATAAAATACATTTTATCACGACGTGATTCCATTTTTATAGACCTATATAGCCTCTTGTTACAGCAGCTCTTTTGTCCACTTCAGCAATTGTTTCTTGCTGTGGTTGTCCCACCTGATGACGGACGCTTGTGTTGCGCCCAAAACGTCGTGATTAAATTTATTTAATTTTTATACATACCACGTGACTTTACCGAAAGAACCAAGGGGTATGGATCCCTGCAGTCACGAAAACTTCAAATCTAGATTACTATACAGTACTAATTTGATCAATGGACAAAAACAAATACTTTAGATATTCCCCTCGCCAATGCTGTCGAGGTGTTGGTGTATGTGACCCACCATTGCCACGTCATTCTTACAGGCCGAGTTGACTCAAATTTACGTTTAAAGCGTCACACTCAGCATAAGCTCCATGTCCAAGTGGAATAAATATATTGAAGGGAGGGTCAGCAGAAGAACACCTTTGAAACGCGATCACGGCCATTAATGCTGTGCACAGGTGCATACAATCGAGTCGCTGTGCAACGGCCGGTGTTGGCCTGTGCATTTGTGTGATTTTCCTTAAAGCTGCAGTGCTACGCCGCATATATGACTCGCTGGGGACCGGGGTATAGGTGGATATCTGAAAAGGTCGGATATGTAAACATCGAGGGGGAAAGGGCAATTGCGCCATGCACAAATAGGTCACCGGACCAACAACAAAGCGCAGGCCGCTTTAAATGTGAGCACATGATTAACTGTGATTTGGAAGTAACTGCACACGAGATTTAGAAGACATTACTGTTTGTGGAAAAGTCAGATGTGTGAACATCAATGGAACATGACGGTTACACCTTGCACAAACACTGGGGTGTGGGCGGTTCATTGGTCAGGATGGATACGTGATGGTTGGATATGCATTGGATAATTGACATTGGAACAGTTCAGTCAATCAGATTCTTCTAGATGTAATTTCCTGAAAAATATAAATACAAAATTCTCTATATACTATTATATACTTATAATAATCCTGTATGTGTAGGTAAAAAAAAACACATCTTCATTCCTTTTTGGTGGATTGTATATTGTCACAGATTCTGTATATTTAGGTTGTGTATATATGGTAGATTGCCAGAGCTGAATATTTTGACATCACGGTTTTTTATGTTAAACAACAACTAGAAGACATTTTTATTCATTGTAAATTATGCATTACATCACTTATTGTGTTAAAATATAACTGGTGTTCTGTTGAAAAAGTAGTCTGACGGGTTTTGTTTTACTTTATGATAAATGCTGTATTGTTATGTGATATCACCCCAAGTAGAAGTGCTTCAAATTTGTTGGAATTAATCCTGTGGTGTACATTAATAAAAATGTATATTTTTTATTCGGCATCTTTGGGTTGTTAAAACTAAATCTACATAATAAGCAATGTCATCTGCCCATCTGTGAGACTGTCAGTCTCAGCACTTGACTCATTTGTATCTAACAGTCGAATAAAAAAACTCATCGTGGCCAGAATAAACCAGGGACATAGATTATTGATGATGAGCTCTGCATGACCGATGGCACGTGACCTATTTAACAACAAAATGAACAAAAATGTTAACCATGCTTATCGTCTTGAATTTTAAACATATCTAAGATCTCGTTTTTAGTTAATTGCCAAATACCTTTCTGAATGAAAGAAAAATCCTGTTCACATGTGGGGGAATGCATGTCACAGCCATTTTGTAATTAAAAGCAAAAACAGTTTTAGATCTATCTGGTGCTATCCTAATATCTGAGGGTTGATGTCTACGACACATCTTGGAATTCACCTCGAACATGCAGGCCCCTGCAGACCACGCTCAGCTTTCAGATTGGGCCGTGAGCGATTTGATTTTCACTAAAAACAAACTCAGCTTTGATGAGCGGACGGCATCTCGTTAATTATTTACTGTATGGCATGTAACACATTACCAAAAAAAACCTTGCTACTACTGAAACCGGTGTGCTGTTCCACCGTGGAACATTATATCCTTTCAGAGAACTGCTATTCGACTCCTGTACAAAGCCTTCTATGACCAAAAGAAAACAAAAAATCACGTTTGAGTCTCAGCTGCAGTGTTTCCTAATGAAAGTGACTCGCAGAACCGTAAGTGGTACTTCAGTGTTCCAGCGGGGCGAACGGTGCATTTCAATGCGCATTCAAAAGGTGTAATGAAAACACGAGGCGGTGGTTTACATTTTAAACGATTTAAAAAAGAAACCTTACACAAAGGAACCACTCGAGTGTTATAAATCAGCAAGGCATGTGGCTGGCGACAGCACTTTGGTAGCTTAAAAACACATTCCCAGTTAGGCAACGCCCAGCGACGCTTGAAAAACAACACTATAGTCCTTGACATATTATCTCTTGACTTAAAGCTTTCGTGACTGCAGCAATGCATATTCTTTGGAGCTTTCGGTAAAGCCACGTAGATAGAAATATTATAAATGTAAATTAGCCCCGCCCACTTACCCTTGGGTTCAACACATCTCAAACCTACATAACATCACTAACACAGCCACCGTTGCTCCTTGTCCTCGAGTTGGCGGTGTCTCACTAGCACAGCCACCGTTGCGGTGGTTCGCTTACATTGACATGCTAATCTCTCACGATGCAATGGCCACCTCCACAGCTGCGTCGTCGTGGTGGTAGCTCAGCTCTCCGATCTTACATTGACATGCAAATTACATCTCTAGCCACGCCCACTTACCCTTGGGCTACACCCATCTCAAGCCACGCCTACCTACCCTTGGGCTACACCCATCTCTAGCCCCGCCCACTTACCCTTGGGCTGCACCCATCTCAAGCCACGCCTACCTACCCTTGGGCTACACCCACCTCTAGCCCCGCCCACTTACCCTTGGGCTGCACCCATCACAAGCCACGCCTACCTACCCTTGGGCTACACCCACCTCTAGCCCCGCCCACTTACCCTTGGGCTGCACCCATCTCAAGCCACGCCTACCTACCCTTGGGCTACACCCATCTCTAGCCCCGCCCACTTACCCTTGGGCTACACCCATCTCAAACCTATATAACATCCTGCTTCAGCAGCTCTCCGATCTTACATTGACATGCAAATTTAATCTCTAGCCCCGCCCACTTACCCTTGGGCTACGCCCATCTCAAACCTATATAACATCCTGCTTCAGCAGCTCTCCGATCTTACATTGACATGCAAATTCCATCTCTAGCCCCACCCACTTACCCTTGGGCTACACCCATCTCAAACCAATATAACATCCTGCCTCAGCAGCTCTCCCGCTGTATATTTTTTCCACCTGATGACGATTGCTTGTGTTGCGATCGAAACGTCGTGGTATTTTTGTTATTTTTCTATCTACGTGGCTTTACCGAAAGATCCAAAGAAGACATTGTCTTTGCATGTCTGTGCATTGTATAAATGTCCAAACGATGGGAGTCTTTGTTAAGCGATCATTTGTGGCCAGGTCGCTTCTGAAAAATAAATACCTCAGCGGACTTTGCCTGGTAGGATGGGAATGGTTTAGTTTCATGTGTTTGGGTGATTTGTTAACCTTTCTTGTACTTTGAACGACTATCGTGTTTTGATTTAAAGCTTTCGTGACTGCAGGGATTAATATTCTTGGTTCTTTCGGTAAAGTCACGTAGAAGGGAAACAATAAAATAGTAAAAATATAAAACAATAAAATTATCACGACGTGATAATTTTATTGGTTTATATTGTTGCAGTCGAAACGTCTTTAGAATTATTTTTTTTATTATTTTATTGTTTCCCTTCGACGTGACTTTACCGAAAGAAACAAGAATATGACTATCATGTTGTTGTATTGTTTGTTGTTCTAACATTCTTTCTCGCCCCTACTAGACATCTGTGAAAAGAGCTTTATAGCCCATCGGATTCCTCCAGTACAAATAAATATTCTGATTCTGAAATCCCATTTAGAAAAGGGGGATAATTTACATGAGGTTTACATGTTGTAAATGTCACATTCACTGAAGCACTGCAAGCTGCAGTGCTTGTGTGTTATGCCCTAAAATTCTCACCTGTGTTGCAATGATGAATGTACCGTAACATCAATTTGAGAATATTCTCAACAGAATATTGCATAGAATGTATTTTACTGCTTTTTAAAACAATATATTTGGGACAATACAAAACAATGCAGAAATTCCCAATCAAATAAACCAAACAACTCAGAATAATACATTAGTTATCGAATTATAAAGTTAGGACAAGTCTCTTTTTTGACAACTAGTATTTGTAAAGAAAATCCGACATGAATCGGCTCATTAAATTTCACCCAGGCTGAATGGCGTGTTTTTTTCCTAACTTATTCCAATTGTGCTATTGTATCATGTAATGAGACCTCGAAACCATTTGGAAATCTCACAGATCAGTGGCAGAGAACAGCCCATGGAAGAGATTTGCGAGGATTCTGAAAAAAAATTCACGTGGCGTTTTTATCCTATACACAGTAGGAAGCACACTTTCCCATAAGCTCTGACATGTGATGTAGAACTTATTTCGCACCATACGTGACCAACTCCTGGTGAAGGTCAGGAGAGTCCTGCCTAAGGTCAGAAGGAATCGAATTTCATTGTTCCTGTTTGCCCACAATTGGCTCCTGGTTCTCTGACCTTTAAACTCTGAAGGTTGGGCCCCCCCCCCCCCCTTGTTTTCCCAAGTGAAGCAACCTACTGTCATGGGGGTAGACTTTCACACCAGGCATCAACACTTTGGTTCACCGCCAGGAGATTGAGAGAATAAGTTTGTCTGGTTTTTTTTGTTTCTCGTGGCCGTTAAGTTGGCCGGAAGGGTTGATACAATTCGAAATTTGTTTGAGCTTCCTGCCTTACCTGGTGTTAGCCTGCGATAAGATGACATTGACAATTTCTCTGAGGTTTTTTGTCCGAAGTGACCACAGCGATTGACAGCGTGCAACCGGGTTCACCTCTCCTCTTTTTGTCCCCTGCCTTTCAAGTCAGACAGGCAGAGGCGTTGGCATTGTTTGGATCCTGCCAGGCCGCTAAAATGGTATCTGCATCGAGTTCAGTTGCATGTTTTGTTCGGCCCCCAATTGCAGAGGAAAAAAAAGAGGTCTCAGATGCCCGTATGACTACATGGTGAATGGCCTGTATTTTATTACGAGTTGTCTGCCTCAGTGGGTTGTAGTGTACTCCATGAGCTGTGGCTTCCAGGGGCTGTTTACATCCCTCTTTGAGGACCTCTATAGACGAGTTGCAATCTGTGCCACACACCTTTGATACTATAGTTCCAATATCCTTGTCTGCTGAAGCAGCATTGAGAGGGCAGTGTTCTGTGCCGTGGTGCAGTAGATGCACCATTCCCTCCACCTTTAGTCTGGCTTTGGTAGAGGACATCTAATAGTAATGTATGAAGGTGCTGCGAGGCTGTAGAGAAATGTTCATTTTTGTATTTGTGCTCTTGGGCTAGGTTTTCGCTGCACATTCCCGTGGAAGATGAGGCTCTGTGATAGGGCATTATTGGATACGGTAAGATAGTTATGGTGGGAGTGGTCTCCAATAGCCTAGTTGACCATATACTCAGTGCAGCTGCTAACACAGCACTAGGAGTTACACAAGCTGAAAGACTGGATTATTGTCCCTGTCATCTGACTTTATAAAGTGAAGGTCTAAAAAGCCCCTTTTTAGTAAGTGTAGGTGGAGATGGTGGTGGCCTAGGGATGAGCCTTTCAGGAAATAATATTCTCTGTACAGATGTTTGGTGGCATCTGGAGGTAATACCCAATATTTATGGCTTTGGGTGCTGCCAAAGCCTATAAAAAAATATGTAATCAATAATTCTTACGTTGGACATGATGGTTTATTGTGCAGTCATTGTTACCGAGCTGAGACCATCAGCACACTGCACTTGAGAAGCAGTTTAATCACAGGTGACAGCCCAGATTCGAAGCCAGGATTTCAGCAGCGCCAGTTCAGCACTCGACCCCTGAGCCACCCAGACATGAACATATTTATTACATATTTATTTTGCACTTTTAAGCTGTGTTAAGGGAAACATTGCAAAATGTGAAAGTACAGTGACACAATTATATGCATAAAACCCTCTTCCAAATGGCTCTTTAACCTTGGTCTCGGTGGCATCAGATGATCAGCCAGCAATGGAATATTTAAGTCACTGCTATCTTTAAAACCCCAACGATATACAAGTCTCACAAACTTCTTATATTGTATTATGATATTCAGTGCCATTTCCAAAAAAGTAATTGAAAATCATACCCCTGGGAACACTTAAAAATCTGCTAAAATACAGAAATGCATTTTTTGGGGTGAATAAAGTATGTCCATCTGAACGCCTGTGACAAACAGGTCCAAATATGATTCACCATCGC